TCTATGCAGTAATTTTTATCACTCTTTTTAGAATACACCATAAAGGATAAATACTGTAGCATGATTCTTAAATCTTACAGTATCCCAAAATAATTTAACCTTAAAAATTCAGTTCTTCTGTTTTAGAATGTTTTGTAATATCTTCTGTTTTAGAACTTTTTGTAATATCTTATATATAAAATATATAAAAATACCAAATCAAAAGTAGCTGTCTAGGTTTATAGCATTCAAATACTACTGTAAATCACTTTTTATTTGTGAGAACTTTATTTTCGCGTTATTACGCGAGACAGTGTGCTCGCAAAAATTTTATTCTAGCGTATAATAGTATTCCTTAATATTATATAGAGCAATAACCACAATTTGTGAAAATTTTGTCTCACTAATCAAGAGTCAATGACTATCTCGCGAAAATAAGGTGTCGCGAAAATTTAGTGATCTACAGTACGCAGAAAATATACTCTTATTTTGTTTGAACAAATTATGACAACTGAATCTCGACTTGTATCTGATTTACCAGTAAAACCAAATAGGAGACAAAACAGGACAAGAGGAAAGATGTCAATGTAACAACAATCTGGGTTTTCTTCTTGTGAACAGTTGTGTTAGAATTCATAAGATAATGGTCAATTCTCTATGAGATAGAGCAAGGTATCTTCTAAAGAGACCATTTCAGTGTTGAACCATGTGATGTCTAAACATAGTGTTTTTGCAAACTTATTCCCACATCCCTACCATCCATTCTCTTTCCAAAATGTTTGGTGGGGGGATGCATGTTCAGTAGACTTTACACTAACCTTTGATACATGTCTAATGGTTCTGACTCATCATCTGGTTCTGCAATTGTGCAGGGTAAAACTGCACCATCTGGTAACTGCAATCAAGAATGAAGATAAAGTTCTGTTCAAGATGAACCCAATCCATCACTACACTCCCTTTCTTGTTAAAATGAAGAGTAAATGTAAACCTGGAGCTTGTATTGCACAAATATCAGAATTTATACATGCATTTCGTAGTTTGTACATTTTGGCAATATACACTCAATTTGCCCTTAATCAATATTTGACTCCAAATATATTACTTTGGCATTTTGTAAATATATGAATCAGTATACAGTAAAACTTGGATATAACAAAGTTACTGGCACCAGCAAAATAACTTCTCTATATCCGTAATTCGTTATATCTGTATATAAGGAATTTGTTTAATTTATATAGCTAAGGATCTAAAATAACCGCTATATCTGTGAACTCGCAATATCTGTGTTCATACTAAACGAGTTTAACTGTAATACACATTTGTATAAAGCACCTTCTTTATTGTGCCAAGAGGTCCTGCATCTGTTTTAAAATTGGAATACCCTCACAGTACATTTCTTTCATGTGAGTAAAATACATGTAATACTAACCCAAGGGTGAACTGTAGGAGCAAAGATGCCCAGAGATGGATAAAGTTCTCCATACCACCTTGTACAGTTGAGGAGACAGGTTTTTGCAAGAACCCTATAATAAAAAATAAACTGTACAATTTGCCTGCAAGGTAAGATTTAGATATAAATATGGCCAATATAACTTTGAATTCTAAAATATTATATTATACATGTAATACCCCTACTTATTGGGGCACTGAATATATATATATATTTTAAAATACATTTTAGCAACATTATCAACACATAAGTACAAAACAAGTTAAGGAGGACCATTATCTTGCCTTTTTCCAAACAGATAGTCATAACACTTTAATTTGTCTGCATATCAAAAATCATCAAGGGAGATAACTTCCCTATAAAAATGTTCTTTAAAAGTGCTTCAAAGATATACATGTAAAATGTATATATATTAAAATGAATGGAATTATTATTTTTATAATCAATGTAATCAATTCTACATGTACATGTAATTAAAATAGGAATATTTAAAAATTAATATCAGTGCAAAATACCCATGATTCTACAAGCTATAATCAACAGACAGCCTAAAGGACTTCCCTACAAACCTACCATAACCTGCTAATCAGAGCCATTAATGTCAGATTCTGTGGTACCAAAGTTCCAATGGACAACTGTTGCTTCAAATGACTTCATTTTGTCAAGGGGCTTAATTATTTAGCACAGAAAGCAATGAATAGGTACACTGTAAATAGATACTGTAGAAGTACTTTTTTCCCCATGGTATTAATTTACGCAATGTACGCGGTCACAAATTTTCCGCAGAAATTTGTCCAAGCATACTTAATGTAAATGTAAGGCATACAGAGACAATCTGAGAAAATTTACTACCCACGGATTAAATCGAAATTGAGATTCCGCTGAATTTTGACCCCGTGGAAAAATAGTACGTCTACAGTAACTGAATATATGTAATGGAATCTAATCTTGCTAGCTATGCACAAATACAGTAACTACATTAGGCCTTCAGGCTTCTTTTGTAATATTAAGAAATAAGTTCCGGTACTATTTCTACAAGTATCTCTCCATCTCAAAAAAGGTAATGTGTTACTGCAAAGTTTTTTTTTCAATCTAAGTGGTAAATACATCAAAGAATATGTTTAATTCTCACTCCATGTTTTTTTCATTGTAAATTGCGGGTAGTCAGTGGCATTTACTCAATGTACTGCATTTTAATTTTTTCCTCTATCACACTGAAAGGATACATATATGCTGTGAAGCAGTATTTGGTTGTCTGTTTGTAAAGTTGTTTGGCTCCCATCAGTTTGACTAGCAGGTGCTCCATCATTTGTCGAGAAGGAAGATAAACACTTCTGGCCATCAAATTGCTCCTGATAATGGAAAAGGAAAATAAAAAATTTAAAAAGTATTCCTCTTTTATAAAAAAGAAATTGTTGGCACCTAATACTGCATAGAGTAACTGTATTATCTATAAAAACTGATTTTCAGGCATAGCTTTGCCAAACATCGAATTAGTTTACCATTCTTTAAAAGATATTGCTCACTTACTGCTGTAGAATGTGCAATAAATTGTCCACAATCTTTTCCACTTTCATTTCAGCAAATTTTGCCAAACATACTTTTATCTACACAAGAAAAAAAGGAATGTGTGAATTTCATGAAAATCTAAACAAATGCAACAAAAATTAATTAAAAGACAGCAAGAGGTCAATTGTAAGAATGGTGAACATAATATTAGAACATACCCTTTTTAGAAACTGAAGAGTTTTTTCACTCCGCAACTGGGCATTCAGTTTGTAGATGATACGACACAGAGCAAATTCCTCTGTGGAAAGGACTATCTGTTTCTCTTTAGCCATTTGCATCTCTTTCAGAGCCATTAAAACCATTTTCACTTTACCTGTATTTATAATATGAAATGAAGTTTTATTGTTCTTTGTTGGTGATTACTCATTTTATACAAACACTTAAAGCCATATATGGCATATGTATAATGAAAATCATTACACTAAAATTATAAGAACTTATTATTTGTATCATTACTTTATATAAAGATAGAACTTTTCCATAAATTACAAAATCTAAGTCAATTGCTTTATAAAGATACCACAATTTAATTGGGATTCTCGGAATTTTCTCTGACTCGGAAGAAAATACAAAAGATTTAAATAACACATTACAGAGAAGATAAAATCGTATTATTAGATGAAACAAGGTGTTCTCCGTGTTCAGAATTGTATGAAAAGTCTAATTTAAATGTATTAACTATATTTCTTACTTAATTGTGTATTTTTCAAAAATAAATTTTTTTGATCAGTTATGCCATATATGGCTTTAAACATACACTTTAATTTGAAATGCCATTTTAAGAATTATGATTCATATACATACAAAACATGGTATATGCACATGTACAGTGTTAAAGTGTTGAAATCATACTCTTAAAGGGAATTTAAGAGTAAAAATTTGCCTTGAGACACAGCTTTAATTGTCATTTTTTTCTATTATACTTTAGATTAATATATATGTATAAGCATTGAATTCATATTTTGGGATGTCTTCGGTCCTATAACTCACCTGGCCGTGCCGCCAAATTGAATACCGCGCGTTAGCGCTGTATGATAATTTGTCGGCACGGCCAGGTGTGTTATACATGTAGGACAGAAGACATCCCAAAATATGAATTCAATGCTTATATTTACATTCTTTAATTTTTCCTCTTCATAATTGTTTATTTTGGTTATCTTTAATATGAATTTATCGCCCTTCAAAACTAGTGTGCTTTATAAGAGCCGTTAATTGTGAAATTGGTGACGTCGTTAAGTTAAATCACGCAAACGAACATTGCGAGGAAAAAAAGTGACAGGTTAATTTTAAATCCAAATTTGTTGTATTTTTACTTGAATTCAACGGGGTAAGTTTTTTTTATCAAATTGTATCAAACAATGTACATTTTGGTGCCCATAAAGTATTGAAAATGCATATAGTCCTACTCGGCTACTGTGTATTCTAACGCGTGGTAACAAGGTTTCGCGTGTGTTATAGAGATTTGAACGTCATGGATTTCTAATGGATTTCATAAAGAAAATCACACTGAATGTAAATATATGCAGATGCAACGCTGATAAATGCCATGAAACAAGTTGCTTAAAATTTCTCAATGTGTGATTTGTCAAATACTGTAAACATTAAAATCAGCAAGTACATAAAGATTACCTTTCTCTGTCAGAGGGTTGCAGAGAGATATTACTGGCGGGGGTCTCAAAGAACGATTATTCCAGACTGTTTGTAGTAGTGTATCTGAACCAGCCATTTTCCCTTGTCTACCACGTGGTGAAAGATTCTGGATCAAATAAACGCTTTGAATTGGATAAACATACAAATTCAGAAGTTAAAGACAGTGTCGAAAGTGATATATTATCATAAGAATGAAACATTCTTAGATTTAAATATTTGACAAAATAAATTATATTTATTATATACTGAATTTATTTAATTTTATTTAAAAAAAAAATTAAAACGCGGATTTTCATCCGGCTATACTTCGAGTACTAGTTTGTCCTCCACGTTCAAACTTCCGGTGAAAATAAAAAAATTCTCAAATCGTAGTTGCTATCGTTTTAGAAGGATGGGGCTCTGTAAATGTCCCAAAAAGAAAGTTACGAATCTCTTCTGCTTCGAACATAGAGTAAATGTTTGTGAGAACTGTTTGGTGGCAAACCATGCAAAGGTATGCTTTCCAAAACGGGCAAAAGCGACTTGATAAGTTGTTTCATAGAAATATAGTCCAATCCACACTTTTCAAAAGTTATGTCCCTTGGTTGCCATCTTAGGACATAAACCCATGCAATCCACACAGTAGCCTTTGTAGTATTCAGGTTTGCAACTTCGTCTTTAAAAAAAGCTCTGTCTTTTGTGTACTGATTGCCCCAAAATGGGGCTACTCACACATTGAAAGAAATAAAATTAAACACAATGAATTTATCACATCACGCCAAAATATTTGGTAGCATAAAGAGGAGAAATGACGTTTCTTTCCCTTTTGACCTTTTGGTTGACCCCGCAAAGGGAAACAACTTTTGCAAAGTGTGGATTGGACTATTGTTGCATATTTATAAAACATTTATGTGCAGAGCTCGAGCACTGTAATACTGTATATTAAATGTTTTTGGCTACTAAATGTTGTACATCTGAAAAGTTTCAATTAAATAAGGACTTTGACATGTTTCAGGATTTTTGTTTAGACAAAAATCAGTCATTTTTTCTTATTAATAAGAATTTACCCGTGAAGTTGCACATAAATGCTATTATTGCAAATAACTTTCTGATTTTTGTCTTTTTCAGTGTGTGATCAAGTCTTATCTGCAGTGGTTACAAGACAGTGATTACAACCCAAATTGTAGCTTGTGTCACCAATTACTAAACGATGAACAGTATGGAGATTGTGTTAGATTGACTTGTTATGGTTAGTCCATCTTTATTATGTACCTTCAATTAAGCACTGAATTCCTATTTTTTGAATATTATCAGCTGTATTAAAGACACTATCAGTAATTGTCCCTGGTCATGCCAAAAAAAAAAAAAATGAATAAGTGCATAAGCATTGTTGGAAGATTATTTTTTGGCATGGACAGGGTGTTACACTAGCAACAACATCTAAAAGCAAGAAATCAATACTTATATATACACTCTTTAATTTTCCTATTCATAAATGTTAATTAAGAAATAAGATATCATTTTTAGAGTTTAATTGGAGTATGACATGAAGTCGGTTATGTGATCAAATTTTATAAAGGGCGTTATTTTCATTTATCTCCATCAAAAATTTAATGCAATTCAAAACTGAAAAAGGTTAATAGACATATTTTAAGAGCCACTCTGGTGTGAAAAGTTCAATAATACAATTGATTATTGCAAGGGGAAAAAAATGACATAAACAATTTACAAGGGTAGTTGTTCCACATTCATCTAGGAACATAGTCTTTATATGAATTCAATTGTTCTTCTCTTGGGAGATATTTATTTATTTTTTATTGTTTTTCAGATATTTTTCACTGGCCCTGTCTGAACCAATATGCCCAGCAATTCCCTGCCAATACAGCACCTGCTGGCTATACATGTCCCACCTGCAGTGCTGGAATCTTTCCTCCATCCAACATGGTGTCACCGGTGGCAGACAAACTAAAAACACTCCTCTCCACAGTGAACTGGGCCAGGGCAGGCCTGGGATTACCACTGGTACATCTAACGTCTTTATGTTTTGAAAGTTGCATTCCATTATTGGTATTACCATGATATTTTTTAATGTCCAGATTTGTGTAAATTTGACAAAGCTTCATAAGAGTGTCACTGTGCCTTATCCAATGAGAGATTTCAAAATTCAGTAGCCAAGTTTGTAGTTAATCATGTATAACCTGGGAAAAATCCTTATTTCAAGTCCCACTTGTTTTGCATGGTTTCAATATAGCAAATTTTTTTGATTCATTGATTTCACTTTATTCACTACATTTTGTAGATAGATGAACCCCAAGAGCTAGTCCTCCCTCCCCCACAGGAGACCCCTCCACTGACTCAGAGTACCCCACTAAAGTCCGAGGCCACATTACCCACACAGAACACTCTACAGAAATCTGGCAGCGTTCCAAGTCATGTGACCACTCCTTACTCCACAGGATTTTCGAGCACACCAGCTGCTTCTCCTTACCCCTTAGGGGCCTCACCAAACCCCCAGATGGGGAACTCTTACTCCCCCGTGTCACCTCCCAACTACAACAACAGACCAAGTGCGCACGTTCCCCCTAATCAGCACAGTGTGATCAGCGTGGACGAGGGGACCTCAGCCAGGGGCCAGGATAAACTCTCATTTGGAGGTATGGACAGGGCTCAATTCATTGGGCTTCGGTTGTCTTGAATTATGTACCTGTAAAATGAAAAAAAAAGGATAAATTTTCATTTTTCATCAGGAAGATTCCATAATACCAAGAAAACTGATGGTGAGATTCATTGAGTTAATATTTGCACAAAATCTTACTGTCCCATTCTAATTCAATATGTATTAACAGCTCCTCAAAAAATATCACTAACATATAGAGAAATCACACATATCCCAAGGTTCCTTCACCTTATTTTTTCTCCCTAAAGTTAAACACTTGCATTCTCAGTTTTTTTCACAGTGATAAATACAGATCAGCTAGTACATTTGTTGTGCATTTTTATTTATTTTACAGATCCCAGAAAGTTATTTGATTCCACAAAAGAAGACACAAATTCCATATTTAATACATCACAGGACCATGATGAAAATAAATATAGAAGAAGATCTGCTATGGAGTGGCTCACCAAATGGCTGAAGTAAGCTCTGTTTGATTAAAGCAACAGCTGTCAGGTGTGGTACCAATCTGATTAAAATCAAATCTTTGTTACGCTCCGAAATTCTGATAGTCTCTTTATAGAGCAACCATCAGAATTTGTGAGTGTTACAAAGATCTCATGTTAATCAGATTGGATGTGGTATTAGACACTGCTAAAATCAGGCTCTCTATGCTGAAAAATATTGCCTTGCTCAAATTTAAGTATTTTTATGCCCCGCCATGAATATGGCAGGGGCATATAGTGTTTGTCATGTCCGTCTTCCGTCCTTCCGTCTTTCCGTCCTTCCATCTTTCCATCCTTCTGTCCTTCCATCACACTTTGCATTTAGCTCAGTTCAAAGCTCAGTTTCAAAGAAACTATCCAAGATATTTCCATCAAACTTCATAGGATGATAGATATTGATGAGAGCTATGCAACTGTATGAACATTTTTTGACCTTGACCTTTCCTTTGACCTTGACTTCATTTTTCTTAAATGACTGTTTAGTTCAGTTTTAAATATACCATTTAAGATAGTGTTTATCAAACTTCATATATGCTGATACATACTGATGAGAGCTATTCAACTGCATGAACATTTTTGACCTTGATCTTCCCTTTGACCTTTGACCTCACTTTTCTTAAATGAGTGTCAAACTTGATATGCTGATACATACTGATGTAAGCAATTCAACTGCATCTATTCAAGATATTCTGAAATTTCATACACAGATTCAAATTTTCATGTTGCATTACTGATATAACCTCGGCAGGGCATTCATGTCCTATGGACATATTTTTAGTTACAATTTAAGTACTGCAAAAGTACATTTTTTTTCATGGAATCACAATTTGTGTTCAATTTAGGAATGAAAAATTACCTTTCTGTAATAAATTGCAACTTTATGTCATATATGTATTTTTTTTTCCAGAAAAATATTTAAACTATAGAGTACATTTCCTCTCATTCTGGACTTTTTCCAATTTTTTTTTTCTCTTCATTTTAGGTCCCGAGAGAGTAAACATGGGAAGAAAGATCCCCTGACTTTAAGGAAGCGTTTTCTGATGGTTTTATTAATTGGGGTGATAGGATTTTTGACAAGTATTGTGATATTCTCAAAACTAGGTCGAAGTGACGTTGACGATGACCCGTTTGCAGGAAATCCTCAAGTGAGAGTGATAGATAACATTCTTGAATAATATGTCTGACACTAAAAATGTTTATCTGTTTTAACTTTTTAATAGAAGTCAACAAATACATGTAATTTGTATACACATTGTTATCTGAAGTGAAAATTATTGGTTATTTTTATTAAGACTTGGTGAATTATTTTTTAAATGAGTTGTATTTAACAGATTTATCATGATTTTTTTTCTTTTTTATCCTGAAATTTGATAAAGTTCTATTTTGGATCATTTTTTGGCTCATATTTTAATACGTGTAGCATAAAAACAATAAATATTTTTCTCTCAGACAATTTTACCAACGTTAAGATTTGGTATTGATACTGAACTTAAGTCTTTAAAAAAAAAAGCTCCACATGATATCATATATTGGTACTCTTTTGTGATTTGGATATGAAGTATTTTGATATACAAGTTGGTAGAGGTATATATTTTAACTTAATTCAAACCATGCATTTAATAAAATTGGCAGATAATGAAATGCTTTTGTGCCATGATAGTCATGATAATCATTATGTGGTTTATATGTATGAGGTACTGCATATGAATTTTACTCATTTTATAGGCACATCTTTGTACACATACATATTTGATCAGAATTTTGAACTCTGTATGAATACCAATGTATTGAGTCAGCATTCTCCACAAAGTTTTAAAGTTAAGTCACAAGTTGATAACTGAAACTTGTAATAGAAAACCTAAAATCTTTTAATGGTCTTGCCAGGTTCCTTATATTTAGATCCATGAATTGTTCTAAAACTACCGGGTATTTAACATGTATCTTAAGAAAAAAAAAAAACCACTTTCAGACTATGTACTACATGTATACAATTGTATTTTAATACCAATGGATATAAAGTGTGTAAGTCTGTGACACTTTTATTTGCAACAGACCAAAAAAAGCTTTCAAGAGTCAAAGTTGGCTACTTGTTTAGTGCTATGTGATCGAAGTGAATAAAATGAATTGTTTGATGTGAAATTTCACTCAAAATTTTTAAACTGTGTCGCATAGATCCATCATTCTTGATATGCATTAGTGCAATTTCTATTTATTCTCATGACATTTGTAATATATTGCTTTAACATAAAAGAGGATAATATATGTAAATTGGTGTATGTACAAAATGCAGATTTATTTGTTGAAAATATTTATCTTAATTAAAGTACTGTAAATACATTTTTATTGTATTTACAAAATATGTACAGTTTCCATGTTGTTACTTGTGTACGAGTCATACTATTTTTGTTCATTGCATAATTAGGATTAAATAAATCAAGATTTTTTTATCTATATGTGCTATTTTCATGCCCCCCTTCGGGCATATTGCTTTGCTGCTCTATGTTGGTCGGTCTATCGGTCCACTTGCTTTCCGTTAATTTTCTTTACAACCTTTGCATTTATACTGAAATGAACTTTGGTATACAGATACATGTATATCAGATAAAAATCTAGGCCAAGTTCTGTTTTTGGTATGATCGCGCCATTTTTGACAGGGTCATGCCCATTTGGACTTTAAAAAATTCCAATTTGGGGGGAGGGGGGCATAAGTGTTTTACAAACATCTCTTGTTTTTGGTGAACACGTTTGTCAGTCTCTACATTTAAAAATGTTTTTTTTTTTCAGTTTATAAAAGTACAATGTCAGATTAGCATTTGTAAGTCAATCAGTGTTCAATGCAGAATTTTATGTGGTCAAGAAAAAAAGATTTACCTTCCTTGCCAATGCAGACGTAAACATTGGAGTTGCCTCCCGTGAATTTCTGTTCTGGGAAAGTGAAAGTCGATAAGTTATTCGATTCATACAGAACAAAACATTGAATTGGGGTTAGAATTCCACAATGGTACGTATCTGAAGCATTTTTATTGCAAGTATAATTATAGAAAAGATATTAGTCATAATGAATCTAATGAACATCAAAAACGGTAGTTAACAACACGTGTACATATTAGTCTGAATTATCTCTGTCATTCTGCATCTAAGAGTCTTCAACTATTGTTTCAAGTTGTCTGACATAGTCATAATGAGTAATGAGAGTGAATTTTTAAGGATTGGACAGACTGAAAATATTTTTGTTCGGGAAATTCAAAGGTTCCTGGAGTGGTTCAAAATACTTTCTTTGTCAACCAAGATGTGCTTAGACCAAGCTAAAATGAACATTTGATAAATGGTGATTAAGACTGAAACTGATAATGATAAGAACAAGGTACAGTTTCAATACAAGTTAAGCCCTGTATTTTTCTAAAATATGAAAGTGATATAAGAAATTAAAATTCATTCATTCTGAATCGTAGGAATTTCATGCAGTAAGAATACACAAATCGTTTTTCTCATGTGACCTCCTAAATGCTAATTGTGACGTCATTATCTTGTGCATTTTCCCTGTATTTTCTTTAAAAGTTCCAGAAGACATCAATTTTCAGTGAAATTTACTTTCAGAAAACATACTCTGCCACCGTCGCCCACAAAGATTTTATGACTCTGCCACTGTCGCCCACAAAGATTTTATGATATGTGATTTTTCAAAGCAGTTTTCATAATATATCCAAAAATTGACAGACACTATTTCCTTGAAGAAAATAAACACAGAAATGAGTCATTCTGAGGCTTTTCTGCATTAAACTTAGAAATGGACCAAATTAATGACGTCACATTTCCAGAACGGTCCTCCTTCATGTGATATTCTTTCCTGATTTATCACATTCATCTACTCAACTCTTGTTAAAGCCAATTTCATAATTTTTCCTCAAGCCCTAGAGGGGCTTGAGTTATCTAAAACGATGCTAGGTCATCGATTAACTCAGTTTAAAAACACAAAAATATATTATTTTTGTAGATAAAAATATTTCTAGAAACAAAAATGAAGCTTATCTTGAAAACATCTGTATATTCAAAGATATTAAGTGTTAAATATCGGATTCTATTCTATGGCGAATGAACAATGAGTGACGCTCTGCAGCCGCAACAGTTTCTATACAGAGATTTCGCGCTTTCCTTTGCATATGAATCTGAGGTAACTTTTTTTAATCACCGACAAAGCATCCTTGGACGAGTCCACTGCAGACTCTGAAAGTTGACGCAGGTTACCCCATCATTAACAATTCTACAATGCATGGCCAGAAAATGTATGGATGTACCCCCCAACTGAAATTGCTTTTCACGGGCCTACAAATGATGTGCACTTTGAGTGACAGTAAAATAGTAGCACAAAATCAATGTTAAATTCTCGTATTATCCTACGTTTGGGTAACGGACCCTATATAACTTCTTTTGGATTCGTACGGAATATGTATTGGACATGCCGCTCAGCCAGATGAACCCCATCGTCTTAAGCCATGGTCCGTAGTAGGAGAGAATCAACATTTTGGATGTGGTTTGCAACGATGGATGAACCCGTAATCACATGGATTTCTTGCAGTCTGATTAAAATCAAACCTTCACTAGCTCCTTCTTATTGTTTTGCAGCTTCACGCGACAAAACAATAAAAAGGAGCTAGTGAAGGTTTGATTTTAATCAGACTGGATTTAATGGAGCCCAGAGCCCCTCCCCCCTTCCACTTTGAAAAGCTTTTCTACAAGCTTGTAGCAAGCTATTTAGATTGATGTATATATTGAATGTGATGTACGTCAGTAAGCAAAAAATATAAAAACCTATATAGTTTGAAGTATACTAAATGTCTATTAGACATAAAAAAAATATTTCATTAAATTAAGAAACGGCAACGTTACTATGCTCTATAAAATATTCCCGAAAGTGTGTCATGTAAATTCATCTTAAAAAGTAGTACGATTAATTATATTTCTTCTAATTAAATTCAATAAAAAAATATATGAATCTTGTTTCATGTACATGAAGTTTATTCAACAGAACATCGAACTCAGTAGCCCTAGTCTTATACCATTTTAGGATATTAATGACTTCCTAATTGACTTTCTACAGCTTGAGTATTTCTGACGTTTTGTGAGTATATACTTGTTTAAGAACATTAAAGTTTTAGGGCACAATAAAGTCCAAATCGTACCTTCTTCTTACAGTGAGATGAATATGAACTCAATGTTCAATACTTCAGAAGTGACTTCTTTCTGTTACAGACTTCCTTTAGAACCGAGACAGACAGCTTTGGGGAGATACAGGTGCCCAGTGATATGTACTATGGAGCAAACACTGCCAGGTCTATTAAAAACTTTGACATTGGTGGATCTAGAGAGAGGATGCCTGTAAGTTTAGGAGACACTTAGATTTATAAGATGACTTCTGATCACTGCTTTGTCAATTTTTAAGTTTTTTAATTGCAGAGTTGATTTCACAAATTTTAAGGAATGCATGTACACGCTGAAACTAAAACTTTTGTGTTTTAGCTTCCGATCATCAAAGCGTTTGCTATTCTGAAGAAGTGTGCAGCCTTGGTTAATGAGGAGTATGGACTTGATACAACAATTGCCAGCTACATCGTTAAAGCGGCAGATGAGGTGTGTATTATAGAACACAATGACATTTCTTCCTGAAAGGTAATAGTCCACCAAGATATTGAAATGAAATTCAGAGTATACTTATCCCGCTAATCTTTTGGCAAACACTTGTTCTAGATTTAAATTTTTTTTCTGTTGACAGATAATTGATGGTCAGTAACGGGACCACTTCTCCCTAGTCCTTTGGCAGAAACCTGCTTTTAGATAATGTTCTTTCTGTTGACAGATAATTGATGGACAGTCATGGGATCACTCCTCCCTTGTCCTTTGGCAGAAACTTACTCTTAGATAATTTCTTTCTGTTGACAGATAATTGATGGACAGTTTTGAGACCACTCCTCCCTAGTCCTTTGGCAGAAACTTGCTCTGAAATAATTTTCTCTTTGTTGACAGATAATTGACAGTCAGTTATGGGACCACTCCTCCCCAGTTCTTTGGCAGAAACTTACTCTTAGATAATTTTCTTTCTGTTGACAGATAATTGATGGTCAGTTATGGGACCACTCCTCCCCAGTCCTTTGGCAGAAACTTACTCTTAGATAATTTTCTTTCTGTTGATAGATAATTGACGGTCAGTTATGGGAACACTTCCCCCTGGTTGTCTGGCAGACGGGCTCGGGGACTCAGAGCAACATGAATGTGAATGAGGTCATCAGTAATCGGGCCATAGAAATGATGGGAGGAGAAATAGGCTCCAAACAGCCAGTTCATCCCAATGACCATGTTAATATGTCCCAGGTATGATACCCCCACTCACTCCTCCACTCACTCTCCCTCCATATAAAGTGGATTTCTGGTATGATACTACTTCCACCCCACCCCCACCTCCTCCACACTTAAAAACTTATTGGAATGTTTTGATGTCCATGTGTTGCATGTTAACTGGTTCTTTGCATGAAATACATACATGTGAATATTAAATGTAAATATAAGAATACATGTATATTAATGTGTAAATGTTATTCAAGCTTTTTTTTTTCAATATTCAGATTTGTAATAATACATGTATACCCTACATCTTAAGATTTGTTACCTGGAGATTTTCAGGTTCCTTACAACCCTTTTCTTCTCCCATTGAACAATTCAGTTTAAAAAAAAATGTTTATTTCTAAAAAGCCTCATGACATAAAAATATAATAAAGCTGTCCCTATTGTAGAGTTCTAATGACACATTCCCCACAGCCATGCACATTGCTGTTGTCCTAGAGGTTCACCAGAGGTTGTTACCAGGGTTACAGACCTTACATAGAGCCCTAGCAACCAAACAACAAGAGTTCAAGGACATTGTAAAGATAGGCAGGACCCATCTACAGGTTAGCTTGATAAATTTTTAAACTTTATATTTAAATATTCTGCTTCTCTTTATGTTTTTACAGTTCAAGCTACAGTTTGATAAGCTTGATAATGATTGCATTTTCTGAAGATTATTGAATGTCATTATAGCGTAGTTGCACTTGACCTTTAAATGAGAAAAAAAATTATTTTAAGAAAACGACAAGAAACTTTGGGAGGGCAGACAGTTGAAAAGAATAACTGACAAAAAAATTAATTTTATTGTTTTTTTTTTAATTAATGAGTTTTCAAAGATCATTCTCCTAAAGCAAATCACAATTCTGACATCCCAATAAATTTAGGAATTGTGAACAACAGTGGGCAAGTAGTCTTTTGTTTCCTTTTCTTTTTTTTCTTTTTTTTTTGTAAGCTGTGAATCATAACAACTGCTGTTCTTGCTTTGAAATATTTATCAAAGACATGATGTATTAGATTTTTTTTTTAAAAAGTGTAACTTTTTAAACGTTTATTTTCATGCTGCTACAGCTACATGTTCATTTGCTACCCCCGCTTATGAAGAATCTTCATAAATTTTGATATAGAAAATTATGAAAATGAGAGAAAATCAGTACATCTGTATTGCTAATAGTGCTGGGTATTGGCCAGAGATTTTGTATTGTGATATACTGGGATATTTTTAGCTGTATTGCGATATGTCTTACTGTTTGGCTTAATAACAAGCCTTTCTTACATATATTTTTATATTCAATGATAAAATTCCTTAGTCTAAGCATTTTGCCGATATATCAATATTACAAAAACGAATTGAACTACAATATTTTTTGTATTGCAATATTATACAGTTATTGACTGGGTATGAGGGCAACATATGATTTGTTGGACCTGAAGGTGAAAATGTTGCCCAAGGCCGAATCCCAGTCTATAACTGTTTTGTTATACCCTTCACTGCTCACTTAAGATTGATCAATTTAATCAATACACGCTATATTATCAATTATTTTATATGGAAAATTATGGCTTCTTCAGTAAATATAAAACATCAAGCTGAGAAAGAACAAAATCAGTTATATATCTATTATATCACAAAAATTATTTATCACAAAACATACTCTTCCCTTCTTCCTTACCTTGCTGTTAGCAACAACTCTTGTAGCTCTTAACTTTGGCTAATTTTGCGTCGCCGCTATTGAACGATGATTAATTACTTGTGACGTAACAGACGAGTGACATTGCGGTCTAACAATTCTTATGTAAGATCGGTCAATAGTGAAATTGTTAGACTGATGTACACTGTATTTTAATAAACAGTTCTTTTGTTGGACTTTTTATAAGTAATAAATATATAGCATGATATTTATAAGGGTATAACAATTAAACCAAAATATCGATATTTTTGCCCAGCTCTAATGCTAACTACAAAATTTCTTACGTAAACATCAGAAATTTTATGTGTTTTGCCAGCAGTATGCATTGCTAGCAATTAGCATTTTTGCAAGTACTGTAGATTGGCAAATGGGTTTTAATTTCACTATGTTTTTGATATATCATTTTTCCATGAAATTAAAACCATCATGAATGCTATCATTAGTTTTTCAAGATGATTAAATGCTTTTAAGAAAATTAAATTAATTTCTTGCAGTACGTGTTAAATTAAAACAATCGCGATTGGTACTTTTTGAGAAATTGTGAAATTTTAACTCCCCAGAATTAAAACAATTTTCAGTAATCAACAGAAATTACTAGCATAACTGTATTCAAATCAACATCTTCAGGATTTGCAAAATGCAGTCATTCTGTCATGAAGAACGTCTGTATATATACTGTCACAGTGTTGATTTTCCAGGATGCCACCCCCTTGTCCCTGGGTCAGGAATTCAGTGCCTTTGTACAACAGATTGAGTATGGAATACAAAGAGTGAATGCCACACTTCCACGAATATATGAGCTAGCAGCTGGTAAGGATTTATTTATTGCTCTATATACAGTGGAGCTTCATTTATCCGGACGCTTTGGTTCCTAGTTAATTTGTCCGGATATGTGAAGCGTCCGGATACCTGAATCACCAGTTACACAAAACAATTTTAACATTTAAAAATTCTGTCCCGATGAAAAATCGTCCGGATACTGAAGCATCCGGATATCTGGGGTCCGGATATCTGAAGGTCCACTGTAATATGTGAAGAGTTATTTCCCTTGAAAGAGCTTTGAGTTTGAATTAAACCTTCACTAGTTTATGATTTTGGTAGATTACTAGTATACAGATAACCATAGGATTTGTCATGACCATAAACTAAGGTCATTTACACAATATCAAGTCACACAGTTTAGATGTGTAAAAAATGGGCTCAAATATATAAAATTCTGAAAGAAATAACTAAGAGCAGCAAGGAGCTACGTCATACTTGACAAAAAGCATTACAATCTCTTACATAATATGATTTATGGTGTGACCGTTGGGGCGAGCGCAGTTGTAAAATCAAAAACATTTGAAAAATTGATCAGCAACTTCAAACATCAAGCCGCACGAGACGTCTCGACTAGCTGTGACGTCAAACGACGTCATGGAGCTTGTTGGAGCTTACGGAGACAGCTGAGCATCTGGTTGAAACTATGTATAGACCTAGTGCAATTTTGGTCAAAAAACATTGCAGAGTTATTTTTTGTTTCTTTGAAAGATTTCTACAAAATGAAAGCCTTTTATGCTTTACGTTATTATTTATTTATTTATTTATTCCCGCAATGGACATAGGGTATTAAAGGAATTCTAGAAATGTTTTACAGAGAAATTTGCCTGACTTATGTGCAGATTTCATTCCGAATTTCCTCTGTTCTTACACGTTAGTCTATTGAGCTCGCTGCGCTCGCTATTACATGTAATGATCAAGATCATTAAAACTGAAATTAATCATTCATTGCTAGTATAATGGTTGGGTTTTTCAAAAAGTCACCTTTAAAAAGCTTTTAGTAATGAACAAAGGGGGGATTGGAGACAGCTACATTATTGCACCTAATTGTAATAGGTCCTGTAAAAGTTGCCTTGAAGCAGATGGTTGATGGAATACATTTTGATTGATGGTTTAAAGTTACTGATAAAGAAATGTCATGTTGGTTTACTTCTTTTAAAAACATTTCTGACATTTTGTCAGTATGGGTTGAATTTGGTGAAAGAGCTAGAACATACACCTCATTGTTAACATGAACACATTGATTCTTAAGGTGGAACAGCAGTAGGGACAGGACTAAATACCAGAATTGGTTTTGCTGAAAAAATAGCTGCCAGAATAGCAGAAGAAACTGGTAAGATTGTCTGTCATTTGATTTTCAGCCATTGTAATCATGATAGGAAGTCTCTTCCACCTTTCAAAGAATATCATTTTACATGATGATCTTTTCTGATTTCTGAGCATTATTTTCATAGGCAAAGGTTATTTTATGATCATCAATATCAACCTTATCTTTGACCTTGAATGTGTTGGAAAAAATAAGATGCAGGTTGTAAAATTCTAATCATCATTTTGTAACCCTCACAATGAAAGTAAATTAAGGGTTTATGAATATACAGCCTGTTTATGAATATACAGACCGTTATGAATATACAACCTAGAGATTAGTAATGACTGGTTTAAAAACAATTTAAATTATTTTTGTCATCCATAGGGTTTCCTTTTGTGACTGCTCCTAACAAATTTGAGGCCTTGTCAGCTCATGATGCCATGGTGGAACTCCATGGAGCTCTGAATGTGTTGGCCTGCAGTCTCATGAAAATAGCCAGTGACATCAGACTTCTGGGGTCAGGACCTCGTTGTGGGATCGGTGAACTCTCTCTACCTGAAAATGAGGCTGGGAGTAGCATTATGCCAGGTAAATTCTAAATCCATGATCTATAAGGGTTTTCTTTGACTGTCTGCTTTCATTAAATTTTGTTGATATACATAAACACTAAATGGTGCTGCAATCTTACTTAACATTTTGTATAACATGTGATGTTTACATAATTTTGTGATTTATTCTTTTTTATTGCTTGACTTTACTTTTGTTCCAAAATTTAATAACTACTGGACTATGTTCAAGATCTTAAGCCTGTGTCACACTGTCAAGACTTTAGGCTATGATAGAGTATGAGTTAAAAAATTGCAGTAATTCGGCTTTCATTGTAGAGATAGTCGTGTTTCATCGCAGCAAATCGCCGAAGGCGGCGATTGTTTTGAGCATGTTCAAACCAATCATGGCCACAGTACGATTTTTAATTATTCGTAAGCGATCGTACAGCAATCGCAATACACTCGTACATCTAATCGTCGTAAATCTTCGACATTCGTAGGACACTCGCAAAAATTCGTAGAACTTCCAATTTGCGAGTTTCCTATGATTTATCGCGAGTATCACACGAGTTTTTGCGAGTGTTTCTCGACTAAAAAGGAATGCCGTACGATTTCGTGCGAATATGATACGAAAACAGGCGATTGACGGCAAGTGCAATACAAGTACCCTGCAAGTGAACTGCGAAATAGTAGGATTGTACGCGTTTTGGAAATTAGGAAATCTCATTCGCATCAAATCATGAATTTAAGACAGCAACATGCCTATACAACAGAAAAACTAGTTTCTGGTGTTTGGCGCGTTGGAGCTAAGAGGCATTGCCATCAGTTGGCGAGTATTTCAAGTGCATTTTCCACAACGCGCATTTCTCTGCTGAGTCTATATGCTCCTCATGGGTCAAAGTCCTTCTTGCGAAAGGTTTCAAAAGCCATGTCCTGAGAGGGAAGGCATCATCAGTCATCACCCATGATGAAATATGGGATATTTCTGTTGTCATTTGGTAGAGGGGCAGCTTCTGGAAATCCAATATTTTGATTTTCAATGACATCTTTTAATTCTGATTTGTTAAACACAGTAGCATCTGATGCAGAACCATTTGCACCTACGTCAACCCAAATGAATTTATAATCAGCATCAACAAGGCCCATAAGAATGAGGGAGTGGAACCCTTTGTAGTCCTCCGTTTTGGGGGCATTTTATAGCCATATGCTTCCCATCCAAAGCACCAAGGACATGGTCCAGGTCCATCTACTATAGTAATTCTGAACTGCTCAGCTAACTGTTGCCACTCATCTGTAGTTGTTGGACATGCAATTACTTCATCAGCATATTCCACTATTATACTTTCACAAACTTCACGAACCAGCAAGGAAATTGTATTATGTGGAACTCGAAATCCGTATATCAGACTTCTGTTGACTCTCCTGTTGCTAAATACTGAAGTGTAATGGCCAACTTTAATCCAGGTTCCAAAACCTTTCTGAACCATGTGTCTTGTTTTTTGTAATCTGGGACTCAATCTGTCTACATGTACAAGCTCTCTAAACATACCTGGCTCTACTCTGAGGAAGTCTTTGAATGATAATACATTCTCTGTTTCAAGTTCTTTCATCAATCGATCAAAATATCCATACTGAGTACGTCTGGTGATCCATGGCCTTATCCAGTATCTTCTTCTTTGCCTCTGTGGACACCCGTTGTGTAATAAATTGGCAATTGCCTTGTCATTTTCTGCAATTTTCTTTTCAAGTTCCCCCAAATATTGCAGCAGTTGAAGCTTCCGCATGGTAGCTACTGCCATAATTATACAACTTCGAAATTATGCTTAAAAATTCAAGCAACCCTCTCTCTATATATACATGTATACTCAAACCACATATATTCGTAAGAATTCATCACTGTTCGTGGGAATATCATGTATGCATCGTACAGACTTGTAGGTATTCGTAAAAGCATCGTTTAAAATCGTGTCTTATCGTACAAATTTGTATAAAGATCGTATTGCGTTCGTTATTTGATCGTTTTTGTTCGTACATTACTCACCAAAACTCGTTCTGTTATCGTATAAGCCTCGTACATTATTGAGCGGACATCATAGTTGTATCGTTACACACTGAAAAAAAACACCCTCTATCAAAAAAATACTAGGCTAGCGTGACGATTGTCGGCGATTTATGGTTTTTTGTAAGTCGTGTGGAATCATAGCAAAAATCGTGACATTGTGACACGGCCTTTAGCGGTTAGCCTAATTTCTATGTATGAATTAACAAGGGATTGCAATCAAACACAGAATTGCTAATCAGATGACAGTAAGACATTCTGACCAATTGAATTGTTAACTATAACAAGAAACGTAAACATTCTCGTATCAAAATGTATATTTCTTTAAGTAAGGTACAGATATTTTATATAAAAGTAGACAAAAAGATAATACCAAATAGATGTACCTTAATCTTGTTATATCAAACATATGGAGATGTTTATGCTGTGAATTAATTACACTGTATATCATTGATGTGTTTTCAGGAAAGGTAAATCCAACACAGTGTGAAGCAGTTACCATGGTAGCAGCTCAGGTGATGGGAAACCATGTTGCCGTGACGGTGGGTGGAAGTAATGGCCATTTTCAGTTGAACGTGTTCAAACCAGTGATCGTCACCAATGTTTTACAATCTGTTCGCCTGATAGGAGACGCCTGTGTATCATTTTCCAAAAACTGCATCGAAGGAATAGTCCCCAATACCCAGAAAATTAACAAACTGCTGAACGAATCTCTAATGTTAGTCACTGCCTTAAATCCACATATCGGGTACGATAACGCCGCTAAGATTGCCAAACACGCCCATATTACAGTGACCACCTTAAAGGACGCTGCTGTTTCACTGAGGCTACTGACCGCTGAGGAATTTGACCTCAAAGTCCAACCACATGACATGCTTGGACCAAAGTAATAATCACATGTTGAAATTTTCAAATTTTGAACTCGATTGTGAATAACACTGAAACATATGATTAACTTTTTTCGGGGGGGGGGGGGGGGGGGGTAGAGGTCAAATTTCTTGGCTCGATCATCATATCATAAATTCAGATATGTATATTGATTACTATGTTTAATTATGAAATTTTTTTCTACTTTGAAACTTTTTTAATCTACAAAAATTGTTACTGGGTATATGATTTTTTTTTTTTTTCAAAAGGTGATATTCGAATGATATTACTTTATTGCCATTTATGATGGAGGTTATTACTTGTTTAACTTCCCATTTAATTACATGTAAAAGTATTTAATATAAGTACAAAGTGGAAAGAGTGTATTAGAAAAACATTTTTCATTATTAACTTACATTGTGAATCATTACCTTATATCCTACGAGTGAATGCCAGACAAAAACTTTTTTTCTCTCAATAATCGGGAAAATAGATTCTTTTACTATATGATTAAGTACATGTAAAATGAATAAGTGTAGCCACATGAGGTTTTCATTTTTTTTTCAAGGTTTCTTAAGAAAATTCTATTAAGGGATCATTTTGAACATCATAGAAAATGTGTATTTATACTTTTGGAATTTCTTTTATCTTAGATGTTTGGCTTGTGGCCACTTTGAAAAGAAAAGAGAAATTTGATAAATAAAGACTCGTGGTTTTGGAGCTTCCATTAATTTTCTCAATTTTCATGTCTGACATACAGTATTATCATTTCAGTGACTTTGTTGGTCTTTCGGTATGATCACATCAGTATGCTGACACCAAAAAAACTGAACAAATACATATAGTTTTAATATACCTTTGTAACTTTATATCCAACACAAGAACAATAAGGGTATTGCAGACTGTTTACTACATGTATATATTTGCATATCAATTAATTCAGTTCATAGATATTAATGTGTAATGAAGTGCCTTTTGATGTTACATTCCAAGAATGTAGGACGGTTGTCTCTCTTTGAACCAAAACTAGATATGAAACCATTACACGTTTTTCATTGATATAAAATGTTTTAACATTAAAAGAAAATAAAACCCGTGATTATAATTGCCCATTTTGTTTTTGAGCTGTACAAGATTGTGTTTAAATAAAGACTTTTTGTCAATATGTGTTTTTTTTGTTCTTTCATTCTTGTTTTTAAATTATAAAACATTAAAATGATTTGACAATTTTAAAAGATAATGACAAGACAATTTTTGCTTCCTGCTCCAGATAGTTTGTTGATTTAAAGGTTGATGATGATTTTTTGACATTTTCCAGTTACTTATGGAAAGACGTTCATTATCTTGTCGTGAGTTTATCTTGTATCCTCTCGTTTTCATTGTTTCGGGGAGTTTGAAAAAGAGGGAAAGTGCCAAAATACTTTATATCCAGGTCTTTTTATAAGCAAACATTTATCACCCGTCACATCCGAACTTCAAAATGCTTACTCAGGCTGTATATTTATAGTCATTGCTGATACCATGTAATGGTTCCTCTTCAGTCTTGAATAAAAGCGACAAAGATTTGTGATACATCTACTTTAAAGTTAAATGTCAAGGATGTAAATCTTAAACATACAATCAGAAACGAAACATGGGCATATATGTCACTATTTGGCGCCCAGCTTGAAGAGCTGATTTAAATATATTAACGGAGTATTAACGCTATCATCGTTCGTTTGGCTTGATTCAAGCTACATCGTCAACATCCGCAGTAGAAAGCAAAACAAACGCGCTTCTAAATGAAGCAAAACACCCACTGCATGCAACGTCATTTGCGTCGTTTACGATCGCTCTTTGTTTTGATTGAGGGGGCTTAATTTTTTTATATTGTTGATAAATCTGTCAAAATATTGATGGGTAAGGGTGGAACGAAGATTCAGATAAGGGCAATAGACAGGCAGACCTCCAGAAACCCTCCCTTATCATGGAAACTTTATAGGTATAAATATGCTGGATACTACGTCACGTGATTCTTATAATCATGATAATCACAAATCCATTATACCGTCTATAAAACAAGGTTATGTTCATCTTCAATGTATTGAAAAACAGAAATGGCAGACAAGAAGTTTAAACTGTACTTTTGGCATCGTTAATCGCCAACTAATCTTGCAGATTTAGACCATTTCACAGTTGGTTAGGGAAATATATTGGATCTTGTGTTAAAAATCAGATGATATATCAATTGAAATCAGCAGGAAGCTTGTGTTTTACAAACTATCTTCAATGAAATAAATTATATAAATTATGTAACACTTTGTAGTAAAGAAGATTGCTTCAAGTTTAGCATGTTGTCATGGACTAGTAAATATTCCAAAACATTCCTTAATATAGGAAGTGAAATGTTTCATCAAAATGTTTTGATAAAACAATAGAGATGAGTGAGAAACATCCCAATATCCTACACTGGTTCTTGTCTTTCAAGAGGCAGTGAAGTCTAGTGACCCGTTTTTTGGCAGGAATCTTGTGCATGTTAAAGATTTCAATAGTACATGGGGAAACAAGATGAAATATAAAACAGAAATAAAATAATCAAAATAAGATGTCGGTAGTTTTTTCCACCGTAGATATATTTGTGATGACTAGCGATATCGCATGCATCGTAGATCAGACAAACCAAAGCGTCCGTTCAGTTCTCCTATCTGGGCTTATCTCGTGACGTGTCACAGACTTATCGTTACCAGAAAACCCAATATTGTATGCGATAGCCGTCAATTCTTTCGGTGCCATTTGGAAGATTTTACATCAAAGTTTTATAAAATTGACGACATTTCTGTCACTTTCAAATCAAACAGTGTGTTTCCTAATCTCCGGACCATCGAAAAGGAGAAATTCTTAATCTCGTGTGCTCTTGTTATCTATCCATTTTCATCAGTACGCATCCAGACGAATGTTTACTTCAAGAAACTCGCGAAAATACATTACGCAAATGTCATGGAACCTTTATGTAAGCTGGTTGTATCTTTAAGCATCCCCAATTTGTCTCGTAGATAAAGATCGCACAGGTTGCTCTGAGATATCTAGACATCTTACATTTGTTGAAGAACCTAATTAATATGACATTATATATTACAGGAATTAAAGAAACCACGCTCTTGATGAATATAAAGTTCGAGAAACGCAGCTGACAAGATAACCCAGGAAGAATTTTCAATCGAACACACGCCTTTTACATCCGACCAAAAAACAGGAAGTTTCACAGCAAGCATAACCTTTTGTTTAAAAGAAGATTTTTTTTCTTGCAAAAGAAGATAAATCGCATAAAAGATATAAAAACTTAATCAATCAAATAAAATTTGTTTTAATGTGCAGTGCGTGCAGTTGTTGCACCATGTCGACTTATGCATTAGTCGCCGAACCCTTTAAAAACGCATGCAACATGTCTGTTCCTTCACGTTAAAAATGTATTTTTCTGTTCATACATCCAAACTTTAAAGATTTGAGAATGCAAAAAAATGTCAAATGTCTGAGTTATGCCGTCTAAAGTTGCCTGGCCTTGTCTACATTTCTGAAAGAATCGTACAACGGAAATATCAGTGGAAAACACAAAGACATGGAACTTTTTAAAGTCTTATTTTATGTAAAAGCGTAATCTATTAATTAAATTAACTAAGGTGAATGCAGAATAGTTAGATTATCGGAGAAAACCATAGCGGGACATACCACAGTTTCGACAAATGTCTTAGCTTTGTCAAATGAGCCCACAAGTACACGTTTTCTTTATTTCTTGAAAATTTTACATACTTACGATATGCTTTGGCGGATCCACAGGGCGGGGTCCAGAACCTCTCGTTTGCACTGTTTGACTCAATTATCTCAATTTTACGTGCTCCCATTTTCTCATCCGCATTTTTCAACATGGTACATGTATTCATCTACTGTTGAACGTCACGTTTTAATATGGACGAGAATTATTAGAAACTTTGTCATCGAGTTTAGGACCTGTATTAACATTGAATTTAGTAGCTTTCCATTCAAGCTACACATTAAATGTTGTACCATAATACTTGTAGTACAATATAACGGTATCTTTCAATAATCTTTATTATGATCCGGGATTCTTTCCCCTGACTATTTCTTTCTCTATTTAACTGAAAATATAAAAATTCAATTAATATAACTTTTCCTTTGGTAAAATAAAACTATAAATGTGTTAATCTACAAATAATCTTTCAAACATGGGCAATAATTTAGGTAGTTTCCTGTTTCAAGTTCGTATAACTATAAATAAATAATAATGAACCTCTCTGAAGGTGGACATTTTAATCTTCGGAAATTTCTAGCTACAGTAAAAATGGTTATAGCCAACTTGTTTATAACGAATTCCTGCTTATAACAAAGTGATTTTAGATTCCCTTAGTCTTAAAAACATTGTCACCTTTTTTTAAAACAGTTAGGACAAATCAAATTGTACTCCTGGCACTCTGCCATAAGCGTATTTTATTGTGAATGATGCTGATTCTCGGGGGGGGGGGCAAAATAAAAAGACTCGTAAAACAGCTTTTTCTTTTATTACAAATGCATGAAATACAATAACTATTAACAGAAACAAATAGTTTACAATCATGACAATATTATGGTGGACGGTCATATAAAAGGGGGAGACAATCAAGTCCACTCACACAGGTAAAATAATGGCAGCATAAACTTAATAGGTGTAAGAGAAAATCCATCTGAGCACACTCGGAGAAAACCACTATTCTATACAAATAAGGTAAAATAAAATTTGGTTTTAAAAATCTTACATTAGACCAATTACATTCTCTTTATTGAAAGCAAAGTTAAATATTAAGTAAATTAAAAAAAAAATCTAATTAATTATACAGCAGTATACATAACTTCAATCATCCAAATTTAAAATTCTTTCAAAAGCCAATTTGCTTCCGAGCATAAAAAAATTAAAAAACTGTTTTAAAGAAGCACATAGGGTATTTTCTGTTTTAGAAAGCATAGAACTATGAAAATACTTCTTAAAGATTTGGTCCAATTGAATTTGAAATACTTATATTGTATGAAACGAAAGTTGATAATGATTAACATATTTAAGACATATCCATGTATTCCACCAAAAGCAATGTGAAAAAATATCCAGTATGTCCTTTTTCATATTTGAAACAATAACTTTAACATTTCCATTTAATCTTGTTAATTTTTCCTTTTTTTTTGGGGGGTAAATGTATTTTCCTCTGTTAAAGAGGAAAATACAGGTGATGAGATGCATTTGTTGAGTTTATAGTCTGTATGGCACGAAATGGTTAAAATGCATGAAAATGATGAATAAAAGAAAATGATAAAACATATGAAGAATTATACATGTAATTCTTAGAGAAACCCATATTATGGCTAAACAATCTCGACAAAGAACATTTCTCTATTACAATTACATGAGCATGTTTCCATCAAATTGTTTCAAGATTTGAATGTAGTTTATTCCTTTGGTATAAGTATGGTGTGATGGGAAATACAAGAATATGTAACATACAAATAGGTGGATTTACAAAAAGATAAATATTTTTCTCTGTTTACCTGAGGGTATTTTTCATTGTGTTTTAATGCAAATATGATACAAATTGTATTATATATAAATTACTTAGTGATAACATAAACGATACCTGGACAAATGCATGGGTGGGTTTATTTACCAACATTCTTTAAAGACTCTGAAGACACTATGAACATTACCCTTTTTTTTCAATAGTTCAAAAGAGTTCTCATTTCTAAAATTTAAAAAAAAAATGTTACAACTTCTTTAGCCCAAAGCATCATTTTTTTTTTAGTTTGAAAAAGTTACAGTTGTATTGATCAGAAATTCATTCAAACAATCAAACTTCATTAGTGTATTTGAGATTCTTAATTCTGAACAACCTTAGCAAATATTCACCCCTTTTAAGCACCACTTGAAAAAAAACATGTTTTCAAAATCTCAATTCCCTTCAACGTAAAGTTTTATTTAAACTAGGAACCATTGACTCAAGAAGTACGTTTTGATGAGAGATGAATAAGATGGATGTGTTACATTGTACATGAAGTCATATACATGTACATGAGTTATATGTTATAATTGTTTATTTATTTGCATACTTATTTTTTAGGCAAATATTAAAATACCGGTATGTTGTTAAATTGTTGTTGAATTCTAGCTCCGAAATTTGTTGTTTGTTCGTTATTTTACACTTCAGCACATTAATCTTGTCTCTGAAAAAATCTCAAATCAACAAACAAGAAAGGGGTCAAACTCTGCCAAAATTCTGTTACCCATACAGTTAATAATACAGGATGTAGTGTAAAAATGTACTGGCCCTATCATAATAAACACATCATATGGAGAACATTCCCCCAACAACAAAATAAATTACTATTGCAAAATATAAATATATAAATATTTACAGATCTACATTGTAAATTCAAAACAATGACATATTTTCAAAAAAATAAACATAATCACAGCAAGCCTTATTAAAGACATTTTTCTTAGTGTTTCTAGAAGCACACACAATGTGCTGTGCTGGTACACTGGCTTGAAGCACACCTAAGCACAATAGTGCTGGCACAGTGAACACAGTTTTCTCAACACTGGGCTATCACAGTCCATATATTTACTGCACAATATTGAGCAGTTCACTTCAACGAGTCAACAATAAAGACAACCATTGCACATTTGGAGGAACATTTTTCCTCCATTCTTGTCTTTGTGCAGTTTCGTGTCAGTGTCATTCAATTTTTTCATATTTCATAACAGAAAACGTAGAATTTTTTATAACGGCTATGATGAGCTTTCTGATTGCCCTCCTTTCATATACCACTGATCTGAGTTCTCAATACACACAACAGTCACAGGGTCTGTCGCTATGGTAACTGTCTTCTGGGGCCCAGACCGACTGGTACCCGGTGAACTGGTTCCCGGTCTCCTTGACGACTGCCCTGGAATTACCCTGTGAGCAGACGGTCGTGTGTTGAGCAGAGACATAGTGTCAGAATCATCAGATTTAGGAGAACTACTGCTTTCTGATGTTGACAAAGGAGCATCTATGTTATCTAAATCTAAATAATTTCTGTCCCTTGACAACAACTGTTCTATCTGAACTCTCAGGTCTGTGAAATTAGGACGCTCTGACGGACTCTCGATCCAGCATTGGCGCATGATCGTATATCTGAAAAAACAACAAGCATGGCAAAAATTAGTTGAAAAATTCAGAATTAATGAATGCTCTCGATCAGTGAATGATTAATCTTAATTTTGAGTTTTACTGCATTTGTCACATTTTTCAGATAAGTGCTTTGAAATTCTTTGTTGGGATTCTATACCTACTGCTTGATCAGTTGCTTTGCATCAAATACCCCCCAAAAATCCATGGCATATCTTATTTTGTCAGTAAGAAAAATAAAGGGAAAAACTCAAGTATTTCATTCAAATACTGATAATGAAAGTGCAGACAACATTTCTTAAAGTAAAACTATCAGACAACATTTCTTAAAGTAAAAATATCACCTTATCAGATAAAAGATCTTTGAAATTCTTGAATTTTCCCCTCAGTTGACAGAGTGAGTGAATACAAACATGTTACCATAACAGTATCTTTAGATAAAGAAAAATAACACCTCTTAGTATAAACTGTTTGATCTTATGAACAACTATGTCTCTTTAGACATGTCTGCACAATTTCAAATGACTGACACATCTGAAGAGTGCAAAAAAGTCAATCTCTCTTTCCTCTCATTCTTTTCCATTCAATTTTTTGTTTAAAAAAAAAGGGGGGGGGGGGAGGAGGAGGAGAGGAGATTGCTTTAAACAAGATGCAAAATACACTGTGCACTGCAAAAAATGAATTTCCTTTTCATTCTTTGACAGTTTTCTGTACAGTAGTATATTTCAGCTTTTCCAATTTTGCAATAGTACATGTATGTAGAAAGGATGGTGCAACAAAGCAGGTGTCTGGATAAATGGGCTTGACTGTTTTGGACTTTAAACAGTGCTATCATATACATGTAGGTATATGTACATGTTATCTTAATCCAATATACACCTACATCCTGTTTTTCACCTAAGCTTTGGTGGAGATACAAGTTCATTACAATTAAATATCTCACGAACTCACAACCTGAAGTCTATTTCAAGCCAAAAAAAAACTGATAAAACGTAAAGATCTTAAACCGGAAAAGAACGGAGATTGTAAGATTGATGAAAATAATAGTTGGGTGTGACCAATTCTGCATTATTTTCTTTTTCGATAAATATCTTACTGTTCATCTGCTCTCCATATCTCATGATCAAAGATGCTTTCAGAGAATTAGAAGCATATATAAATTAAATTTCTTTTTTTTCATTTTATAATTTAAACTGTCTGGATTTGAAGCTTATATGTGGTATCATTTACTCTTACATAACAAAAATTGAATTCATTATCAGTTTTGCTTCAGTAATAAAGTTTGATCATCATAAAATACATATCTTTGCACCGTTAACCCCTTCTCATACATGTATCTTATGAATCGCAACTATCTTTATGACCTCAAATCTTTCTGCACATTCAAGGTGCCAAATTACACTACTACGTGATTGCAGCTTGTTTAAAAAACATCCTACTTGGCATAGGATCTGATACATAGTGGACCCCCAAAAACTGAGACCTTGATAGAAGAACTAGGAAGAAGTTTTCTTGTAAAGGTGATAAGAGATGAAAAGTACAAAAAGATGATGAGTGGAGGTGACCTTGACAAGGGGAGGGGGAAAAACTGCTTGAAATTAGCTGAAACGGCAGCCAAAACAAAGTAAAAAATAGGGCCATAACGGCTCATCAGGTAGACCCATAATTTCTGCTAAATGCTCAGTGGTGACATTTTAAGGTTGAAGAATAATTAAGGTGCTTTTGTCTAGAAAATTTTTTTTTAATGCTGACAGGAAAAGAACAATACGGCCGACAATTTATAGTTTTCAGTAGATGGATTTGCATACGTGTGTAGTTTTGAGTTTCTGTTTAAGGATCCACACCTGCTGGGAAATTTTATCACACTTCCTGTGTAGAAGGAGGATACAGTTCCCTCACCTTGTCAGTATGTCTGCCAAAATCTTCATCAGTCAAAATCAAATTGAGTTAATTTGAAGTAGTCTAATACACTGTTTGATATGACTGACAAGGTAAACACGCCAGCTCTGAAGTCAGTGAGCCCAGATGGGGGAAATGTTTGAAGACACAGCAATTGAAAAACACCCTAATCCAATTAGCTGTGAAAGAGGATACAGATAAAAATACATGCTTCAGATGATAGTAGGCCAGTAGGGTGCCTTCTTACCCATAATGCACTGCCTGAACCAAATAACACTGGATTTGACCTTGATAATGAGGGATGACCTCCAGCATCTGCTTCTAATGATTTGAATGATGTAATGAAATGTTTTTTTAAGATATATATATTTTACTTACAATTCTGATGAACAATTACTGGGTTTCTCCATTCTGTAACCATTGGCTAGAACATAGTAAAGATCTGCTAATGCTATATTTGGGTATGGGGAACCACCTGTTAAAAAAAAAAATAAAACAATTCATTGTTAAGGAAATTAAACCTGACATTGATAAGCAGTTCTCATAAGATTACAGTATACCAATGACTTCCATGTAGAAACTATCTATAAGAGCTTCAATGTTATGTATCCTTCATCTAGCTTGCTTCAAGACAGATTAACTGAAATTTTTTCATGTATACACATGAGTAAAAACTCAGTTATAAAGTCATTGGGATTTGAAATTTAACTTCTTAATACATTACATTCTTTATATCCATATACAGTTGAACTTTGGTATCTCAAACATTGATATCTTAATTAATACCTTTGATATCTTGAAGTCCCAACCACATATTCTTTAAGTAATTTATTTTACCCTGTTATCTTTAATCCTCAATTTACTCCAAATTTAAGTTTTTTTCTTAGTTCTATTGATTTCTTGATATCAATATTTGATTGATTTGGAACATAGTGAAATAAAGACGCCTAAGGATTACGTACTAAAAAAAATCCTTATAACAGTGATTTCCTTTTAACTGAGTCCTTTATAATTGAACAATTCTAATTGCATTAAATACTACAGTAGCTGGCTAATCTTCCTAAAAAATGAAGAAATGGACTCAAAATTTTCATCCCTATAGACAGCATTTTGAATTACATAACATCTAGATGAGACAAGTTGCACTGTATGTACTGTAAAAATAGTCATTTATGGATAAACACAACTACCAGTTTTCATAGCTCTGTTCAGTGACAATTCTCCCCCCCTCCCCCCCCCCACCCAAAAAAAAATTGTTCTTTTGCCAAGCACCCAGCACTAAAAGTGATTGTCACTGGTCTTTTGTATAAGACCCTAATGTCACTGGTCTTTTGTATAAAACCCTAAAAAACTTAGATCCCACTTCATGGTAGGTATAAGCATGATAAAGAATCCTCATAGTTCAAAAACCCGAGTCTCAAGTATAGGTCTATATATTTGAAGCCCTTCACTAGTATACATCGACGTCCATATATAAATGAAATTTCTCAAATGGGAAATTAAACAACATTCAATCAATCTTACCCATCGTGATGATCTCCCACATCAAGATTCCGAAGGACCAGACGTCACTCTGGGTGGTGAAGATGCGGTCCCTCAGAGACTCGATGGCCATCCACTTGAGGGGGAGCTTCCCACTGGTTATCTTATGGTATTGGTTGTCATTGTAAATGTCCCGGGACAGACCAAAGTCACAGACTTTTACAACTTTGTCGTAACCCAGAAGAACGTTTCTGGCTGCTAAATCTCGGTGAACGTATTTCTTTGCTGCCAGGTACTCCTGAAACAAAAGGATTGAGTACTTGATCAAAGAATATTTATATCTAATGGTGATGAAAAATTTTTTTTGGGAATTTCAAAGTATTCTCCATTGTTTGGTGGCAATTAGTTGTGTACTAGTTTAGGAACAGTCATTAAGAGATAGAAGAACAGATGTTACTTGTATTCAATTAAGAAGAGGGTAAAATATAACCCAAACATGATTTTAGTTTTAGCGTCAAATATCAAAATATCTGAAAATGAAATTCCTGAACAGTAGTACAAAAAACCTTTGCTAAAAAATATGTACATGTATTTCACTGCACTTAATTCAAATACAAGTTTCTGTAATTGAACTTAATCTGTCTTATCGTCTTATAGGAACGAATCTAAAAGTGCTCATTGCTTAACCATCACATCTCTCCGATGAACTCACGAACCCAATAAAATCAAACAAAAGATACTCAAAGTTAGATAAAAAAAAATATATGATAAAATTCCTCTCCAACATAAAACACAGTCTAAATATGTAATATCAGTTGGCAGGTACGACTTTGGAAGACATGTTGAAACAGCCTCCGTCCAATATTTTGGTTGAGTTTGGGGAAGAGCTGGCCTGGTATTTTGATTGCTTTGATTTTATCTTCTCTGTTGTTGATAGAAATGTATAGTAAAACTTTTCAAGATCACAAGCAAAAACAAGTCTAAGAATGCTGAAGACATAATTTGGCAACAGCACCCCAGCTCCTACGTTTTAAGCCCACACTGATATGGATGAGCTTTGCATGTCCTCTTTGGTCCCGTGAAGTATGTTTGATAATAGGAAGATTTTTCCTTCTTTGAGATTAGAATAAGACAAGATAAAGTGAAGTCGAGAAATTCTTTTAAGAGTTCGTACAAATTGTGGTTATGGAATGTAGGTCAATCAGCTAAAAGTGTTAAACTTTGATAAAGGATTTCCGAAAGAAATATACCTCAACATTCTAAGACAATTTTACTTCCATGTAAGAATAGAACATGATTTGAGTCAGAGACATACATGTACTATTCATGAATGAGCAACTTAACTTTTTCAACTTAATCATTTCATAATATCCAAGAACACCTTAGATTGATCTGTACATGCAATGCAAAGAATGTGAGACAAGGTATATAATTTTCTGATGTAAATTCAAATTAAATTACACACATAAACTAACCATTGCCATTGCAGTTTGTCTGGCGAAGGACAGCATGTCTGCCGGAGTTATAACACCACTATCAATACCACCACTCTCATCCATTAGAGAGTATACCACTTCACTAGGACGACCTATACGCTTCTGGAAATCCCCTTCTAAGCGGCACTTTCTGCAAGACAAAAATATATGACAATGCCTCAATTAAGTGAGCATACATGTACTTTGATTTCAAAATGCATACATGAATGGTCAGCAGGGGATTATCACTCCTCCATGGCACCTGATCCCACCTCTGGTGTTTTGGAGGTCCTTGTGTGCTCTGCATCTGATTTATATTGTTAAATGGACTTTTGAGCTTGAATTTTGTTCATTATCTCTATATATATTTCATTGCATATACTTGCTTCACCCATTTTCAAAGTTCAATCTACATTTTGACTGCATGGAGTCAACAGGTATAATATTCCTCCAAAAAATGTCTTAATTTTAGATTAACATTATTATAAATATCTGCAGTAATTAAAAATAATTCTTCTAAAATAAAATCTTTTACATCTGGCAAATTCTGAGCCAAGACAGACAGGAAAAAAAATTATCAAAGAATGTACAACTGGCTGAAGTTTTTAGGCAGAAAATTATCAGTGTCTGACAAAAACAAATTTCCGAAAACTTCAGAATTAAAATGACTTCGTCTTCAAATAATAACTAGGAATCTTTTGATATTTATCTAGAAGCTGCAAGTAAACAACTGATAATTTACAAAAATAAGTTGATAATGAGCAGGATTTTCTCAGCCCGTCGGTTTGACCTAGCTGCTCAAATTTTTTTTTTAGTTTCAGGTTGTTCCAGTTTTCAATTCCATGTATACCAAAACCTTGGAACAAATTACTGCTAGACAAATTTTTCTATTACTTGAACTCAAGAGGGATGTATTGATTAAAGAACATTACAAAATAAAGTTCTTTAAGAGCTCAAAGATTTCATTACATTCATGCTCATTATTACGCAATCTAATATATCACATTATTACCAAAGCTCCTTGTCCCTTTCTTTACAAGTACATAAAGTTTTAAGGATATACAAGTGGATTTCAAATTACCTGCCTTAACACTGAATTTTAATAAGACTTTTAAAAAAAGATTTAAGAGCTACCTGGTATATGAAAAAACAAGCTGTGATTGTGAAATATGATGCCCCCATATAGTAGCTTATAGCATGTGTTGAAGTTTTTCAAATATTATGTCAAACTTCAAGGTCAAATTGTTGGTATCCAAAGTACTAGGGCTATCATATTTCATATTAAGTATATTCTTTATGAAATGGCCTTCCTTAATTTGGGTATCAACAATTTTGACCTTGACCCTGGAGTTTGACTTGCATTTGAAAAACTTCAAGCCTTATCTTTTTTTTTTTTTTGCACAAGAAAGAAATTCATTCAATCAAATCTGCAATTATTGTTCAATTTGTAACTAAATTAATAGATTTCAGGTTTAATTTTTATATTTCTTTTTTTTTTTTGTAATGTAATTTCTTCTGGATTGATTTTACACATTAAGCAAATTAAAAGCAGGAACATTAAACTGTATATGCATGCACTCTGGGTTTTTTTTATCAAAGTTTAATATAAATATGCAGTTTTCAACTTGCTGCAACAAATAATGTTTTGGCTTTCATTTTATGAATCATCAAGATACTTGCTTATTAACTGGAAAGGCAAAACTGCAAAAAAGAATCTAATAGCTGCTTCATATCATATTATTTTGTATTTTATACATGTACATTTTTTAAAACTCTTTTTCACTGATGTAGCATTTTTTTTTCAAAAATTCTTTTCATATTAAAGAAAAAGAGTTCCACTATAATGGGATGAAGCTATTCTTTTCTTGGGACCAGAAGGGGGATAAGATATTAATGTAAAGCCCTGAACCAGTAAGTTAGCTCTTCAGTTCTCTGAGTCCAGTAATTGTCAATTTAAAAATTATTTCAACCTGCATGTAACAAGAATATACATATATGTACCCTGCTTGACCACATGCTAACCGGTCATGAAAGCAGTGATGCACATGCATATTCAAATCGCAGGCTCGTTTTCTGCATGCCACGGAAATCTCGGAAGCAGGAACTAATGAAATTCAGCACCCCTATTTGTCATATCTGTGCAGTATGCTGACAGGAATCTCGTGCCAGCCATCAGATATCATAAAGGCGAACCTCGCACCTTCCTCAGTCTGCACCGAGTGTGAGGTAGGAGAGAGAGAGGCAGCCATAGCTTGAGTGATTTATGGGTCTTGTTAATTTTTGATTATTACCCTTGGCTGACTGTCCAGACTTGACAGCTGATGAGCAAGAAGGGGGATGCTAGGGTATACAAGAAGAATGATGTACTGGCTCTTTGTTTACTGGTATATAGAACTCCCAGCCTCCATCAAACAAAACAATAAATATAAGGGTAAAACATTGTTACAAAGATGATTCTTTAATTAATGTCAAATACTTATACATTTACTCCTACTCCCATATTCAAAGAATGTTCATATTGTTTACATTTGAAAGGATAAATTTTATGATTTGTTATAGTGCTTGCATGTTTATACCGGGTATGTCAAAATTAGAAAGAGAAAAAGATTTGCAAATAATTGATCTGTTTTGCAACATTCAAAATATCTCTATCAATAATAAATAAAATCCAAGTTCCAAATAGCTCAGTGCTATATACACTCTTGATATGAAGAGTTTATTAAGCAAGGATCAAAGAAGTCTGCATTTTATTAGATTGAAAAATATTTCTATTTTTAAAATATTATTCCCCCCAAAACAGCTGCCAATCCAAAGAGTCCAATAAACCACACAGGGGGGTCCTAATACAGTCAATTTGCTGCATCAGGAATTTGAGATGTGTTTTGTTCTTGTACTACATCTTACATGACAAACAAAATCAGCCCCGTGCACTGATGCTCCTATCCTAAGATGACTTAACCACATGTTCGAGAGCTTAAGTTTAAGTGCAGACTTTTGAACAGATAAAGGGTATACCTGGTAATATGTCATCGAGTAGTAGTACAGAACTCCTCAACCATGCAAAACATGGCTGCAGAAAGTCATTAAAGTGCATAGTTAAAAAAATAAAAATCGAGAGTTTAGCCAAAAAAATTTTACCCCTGCTTAATTACTTGTTGAACCTTCAAGAACAATTACTTTAGCATTTTTGCTTTTCATTATCGTTTTCATTATTGTTCTGAAAAAATACTTTCAATCACTTTTTTTGAAACAAGTCAAAACCAATTCGTTGGCCATAAATACATTGCCGATTGTTAAAGGTAAAATGAAAGCTAATGATTCTGGAACCAGATTGATTAAAACAGGGGAGCCCCACAGACAATGCATAATTTCTAACTATGCATGAAATTAGGGACTCCCATGATCACAAGCTATAAAGATAACGCAGGAACATCTTTTTGCGTAAAAACTTTTTTTTTCTGCAGACGAAATTATGACAGGAATATAATAAACGATGGCTACTTTCCCTCTCGACAAAATACGCAAACAAACAGGTAGGGCTGCCAAATCACTGTACATCTGCCTACAGCTAATAATTTACTGATCCCATCAATTTATGTTCAGTTAAAACACTTTCTGAGTCTTTTCCTACTCTAAATAATCTAGGCAATCAACAGAAATATCTGGCCAATACATGTAATTTGTATAAATGGATACTGGCTTTTTCCAAGGACACACCATTTTATGTACCATATACATCTATTTCATTGCATACAATACTAAATAATTTCTGTGATCGAGTGACATTCTGTACCAAAATGTTCAGAGACACAGCTCATTTCAAATTTCAGACACCTATATCTTCTTGGAACTTTTAATTTAAAAAAAATTTAGTGGATTTTTTAAGAATTGCATGACATTTGGAAATGTATTTCGTAAAGATTTTTAGTTAACTGTTTACGTTTTTGTATGGATGCAAATTTCATGCACTTCCTTAATAAAATGTTAGATTTGAAAGTTTTCAGTTGTTAATAAACCCATTTACATCAATGCAGAACCAATTGCTCTCAACAGAAAAATAAAACTCTAAAAAATCAGTAACAAAGGCAACTCCTATGTAGGACTCAGTCCTATTCGTGACTTAAATGATAGGGCTATTAATCCCGAAAGATGCATAAAAATGCTTGTCTGAAGAAAATCCAATTCTACTGTCAAAACTGGGGGGAATATCTTGCTCACAAATTACACAGAGCTAGTCAATGATGATGTAATCTTTTTATTTAAGACTTTTACATATATCCATAAACAACAGGATACTGTTTCATAATATATTCCATTAACCAACCCATTCTTCACAGAATAAACATAGGTTCAACAAAAGATATTGCCGTACTTGTATTTATAAAGTACCCTGGTAATTCTTCGGTTAATTCTTCAACCAAAACACTGAAAAGTACCATGTTACTTATGAGCAGCTGAAATTACCCAGAAGATTTACATTACACCACCCTCCCCATATAAAATTGATGGCTTGACAAGCATTAGTGACCTTGGAGTAAGATGAAATGAAGGAAGTAAAACTCAAATGTAAAGAAACCAGAACACCACTATACAAGATAAGATTTGACTGACTTGTGTGTTTTTTAGGTAGTGCTAGATAATCCTACAGAAAATGACAGGGTGCATTATAATGTACTCCATGCCACTTTTCACCTTCAACATTAAATATGGCACAAGGTCATTCTTGGCATAGAACCCAATTTGGCCTTGATAACTTTCTGGCATTTCTTAAACATAATTTTCCAATTATTAACATCAATGGTCTTCAATACTTTTAAACAGAACACCAATTTTGCTTCTTTATGTTAGTTCTTTAACTTCCAGACCCTCAATACATAAAAGTGATAATGGCCATTTTACTTTGTAAGTTACAGGTTTGTAAATAAAGCATGTACATTTTTTTGGGGTCATATATACACTTTTACATGCAATTCAGCAAATACCATCCCCTCCCTCTTAGTGTTCAGATTAATTAGTCCCTCCCCTCCCCTTTCTACACAAGAGGCCCACGGGCCTTATAGGTCACCTGAGCATTATGCAACAACTTTCCACTTATTGAATTTGATTCATGTTTTAAGCCAGATGCTATATGGCATTCACAATTTTGAAAGAGGCACCATTGATCATCATAACAATACACTTAGCAGTTGCTTAGCTTGGTTACTGAATACCCATACGCAGGGCAGGGGAACAATATTGCATTCCAACTAATCAGTAATATTCAGCAATAATCAGTAGTGCCCCTAACACTGTGACATAAACCCCTGACCCTAGGTCCACACATTGCACAAATTTTAAAAAGGTACCCTTAAAATTGCCTATCAAAAAATAAATACATGTTTTATAAATATAAAGGAGCAGATTTCAAACAATTAATTCATTTTCAGTATATAAGTAGATCCCCCCCACCCCTGACCCTGGGGCCTTGAATTCACAATTCTGCAAGATTAGGGCCCTTGCTCATCATAACTATTTAGGTAGTTCATCTGCTTCATACCCAGAGACAGAGAAGAAAATTTTCAAAGATTTAATGTATTTTCACTATATAATCAATAGAGCCCCGCCCCAACACCAGAGCCCCTGACCCTGGGGCCATAAAATTCATAATTTTAGAAGAGGCATTTTTGCTCATCATAACTACGTACGAGGGTTGATCCAAAAGTAATGTCACAGTGTCCATATCCTTTATATTTGGCCTCATATTTTCAAATATTATATACCAAAAGATGCACAAATATAAATTTAATTAAACTTTAATTTTTCATTCAATAATGTTTAACTGAATTTATTTTATAGATGTTTAAAACATATAAGATAGGGGGTGTCGCCGCGTCAAAACCGAACGTCACAAATTAAAGTGTACTTTTTTTAGTATAAAAAAGACAAACACTTAAAAAATATCTTTTAAAAGCGCCCTAACACAAAATACTTTAAAACACAAAAATTTACATCATTTTCTTGTCTTAAATTGAAAATTATATGACATCACTGCTATTTTTATGAAAAACATCGTTGATTTATTCCGGTGCATTGAAAAAAGGAAACGTCAAAGTGGACAAGAAAAGCCAAAAAAACTGTAATGCATTTTTGCTTCAAAATGAAGAAATCGCCAGTAGAGACAGTTATGTTGATTCACTAGACTTTCGGAGGAAAGAATGTAAATAACAGACTTTTTTAGATGGTTTCAGCGATTTTGGGTGGGTGATGGGTCATTAAATACTCAGCAGATGACAAGAAAACCGGAAAATGGGAGGGCGGACGGAAATGTTCAATGGTGCGTGACGTTGTCGAAAAGACAGACGGATAGAGCGATATATGAAATTTTAAGTTGGTCATTTACTACTGTTCAATGAATTTTGACAGAATAAATTATGGAAAGAGTGAGTGTACGATGGGTACTAGGGGCAAGAAAGTGAAATTTGTTAATGTGTTCGTGGATATCAAATATCAAATATTTTTCAATGAAACGAAGGGAAGCGTTTAAATGTATGACGGCGCGTATCCGACATATGACGTTATTTAGGTGCGGCGACTACCATTATCGAACGTTGTATATAATCCGATATTTTAAAAAGTATAAATCATGTTGAATTGAAATTTTCTGGTCTGATTTGAAATAAATGTAGCTTGCATCATTTATAATTTTGTTGTTTTACGTCGACGGATAGCGATTTTATCGAAGTTGTGACATTACTTTTGGATCAACCCTCGTACTTAGTTAGTTTATTTAATACCCAGGAGCAGAGAAGGTTTTCAAAGAATTCATATATTTTCACTATATAATCAATAGAGCCCCCCCCCCCCCCAACACAAGAACCCTTGACCCTGGGGCCGTAAAATTCACAATTTTGGTTCAGGCACTCTTGCTCATTATAACTATGCACTTAGTTAGTTAATTAAATAATACCTAGGAGCGGAGAAGAAGATTTTCAAAGAATTCATGCATTTTCACTATATAATCAATAGAGTCCCCCCCCCCCCCACACACCAGAACCCTTGACCCTGGGGCCATAAAATTCACAATTTTGGTTGAGGCACTCTTGCTCATCATAACTATGCACTAAGTTAGTTTATTTGATACCTAGGAGCAGAGAAGAAGATTTTCAAAGAATTCATTTATTTTCACTATATAATAAATACACCCCCCCCCCCCCCCCAACACCAGAACCCTTGACCCTGGGGCCATAAAATTCACAATTTTGGTAGAGGCACTCTTGCTCATCATAACTGTGCACTTAGTTAGTTTATTTAATACTCAGGGGCAGAGAAGAAGATTTTCAAAGAAATCATGTATTTTCACTATATATAATCAATAGAGCCCCACCCTAACACCAGATCCCCTGACCCTGGGGCCATAAATTCACAATTTTGGTAGAGGCGCTCTTGCTCATCATAACTATGTACTTAATTGGTTTATTTAATACCCAGGAGCAGAGAAGAAGATTTTCAAAGAAATAATGCATTTTCACTATATACTTATTTAGCCTCACCCTAGCACTAGAACCCCTGACCCCAGGGCCATGAATTTCACAGTTTTGATAGAGGACTCAATGCTGATTACAAACATGCAAACAGTTTGACTGCTTGATGTCCAGGAGTAAAGAAGAAGATTTTTAAAGATTGCATTAATTTTAGTGGTTTTGGCCCCACCCCTCAGGCCCCAGGGGGGCAGGGATCATGAAATTCACAATTTTTGTTCCCCTTTGCCCATAGATGCTTTGTGCCAAATTTGGTTGAAATTGGTTCAGTGGTTGCAGAGAAGAAGCTGAAAATGTTCAAATGTTAACACACGACGGACGACGCACGACGACGGACGAAAACGGATAGCAATAGGTCACCTGAGTTTACTCAGGTGACCTAAAAAGTTAATGGCAGCCACCCTCTATCAGTCAAAGAACTCATAAATTATTCAGAGAAAGTGTTTTGAAAATTACAATTATATAAAAATCTCAAGCCAGGAGAAATCAGATGGCCATCAGGTTTTTCACCGAGCCGGCAGGGGGGAGGGCAATATTATCAGCCACAGGGTCATGTGTTACTGATAGGGCCTGCTGTGGTGATAATGGCCCCAAGTGCAAAACAGAAGAAAGCCAAAACGGCACACCACCATATAAACCCCCTAGCATAATCATATGGCTGATTAGGCTGTAATCTGCTGTTCTATCCTGTAAAGTATCTGCTAAAAATTATTTTGATATCAGAATTGTGCATCAAGGCAGGGTTCTTTGCCTGTCTGCCTCAGTAGAAGCATTCAAACAGTAGGGGATAACCAGTGTTTGCTTTAAATTTATAACATAATGCACTGCACACAAGCCTGGGTTTCAGTGGCTGAGCTTTTGCATATACTGGTATATAAGAAAGTGGGGTAATCTGCCAGAGATAAGGCACCTCCAATACAGAATCATGTTCCTTGTTTCCATTCTCTTAATTACTGCAAGTGCCACTTTTTCTATTACTTTTCAGGACTGCACAACAGATAATTTGAATTACAACTGTCTGTTTGCTTAATTAAAAATGCCTCCGTTCAAATTACAATTACCTCATCAATCACCTTCACTGACCCACATTCTCCAAGTTCACCTGAACCCTACTGAAGAATTTCCCTGGGCAGGGGTCTTATTGCTTTTTTACAGTTTCTTTTATTTCAGACCCCAGTTTATGAAACAAATTGGAGTTGCTGCCTTTGAGAATCAATACCATCATACATCCAATATATCCCCCGACTTTGACTAGAGAGAGAGACCCCCTTCTGGGCAGAAATTATCAAAGACATTTTCAAAGGTGGCTTCTCTTTTTTAGAGTGCACTGAGGTCTCAAATGATACATTTTAATTAGCGATGATTTTTCAACAAAGTACTGAAGTGGGACATTTGCGGGGTGAGGTAGTCTGTTGAAAAGGAATGCCATGTCCAATTACTGTCTTTATAATCCTGCAAGCTTAATTATTTCAGAATCATGGTCAGCATCATTTAAGTCATCTTTTAATCATCATTATTGTATTCCTTCTGATCTCTCATAAAGGCATTTGTTTATGATTTTACAGCATATGTTGTTCTGTGAAAAAAATTACATAACTCCCATTTTGAAAATAAAAATAGGTATAAACAATTAAGATTGCATTGCATGCAAAACAATAATTTAATTAAAACACTAAAGTAACCCCTCCCCCCACCCCCCCCCCAAAAAAAAGAAAACAAAAGAAAAACTATTCATAAACTCAAATAGCTAGAATTTCTGAATAAAATCTTGAATGGTACTCACTTGAGAAAATTTTGAAGGTTTCCATAGGGGACATATTCCATCACCAAAGCTATGGGCTCTGACAGAGTGCAGGCCCCTGACATGGATACAATATTGGGGTGAGAACCGATTCTTTTCATCAAGTTGATCTCCGCCAAAAGATCTTCTTTGTAGGATAAGGGTGCACTGTCTGTCAAGTTCAATAATAAAATGTTTTGTGAAAAACCCATCAAGAACAAATCATACATCTGTATTTCTTTCATATACAACTTTCTTAATTCATGGTTTTTCCCTATACAGTCAAACTTTGTAATTTTAATCTTATGGGGATGAGAAAAAACCTTTGAGATATACAATGATTCGAAATATCTAGGGTAAAATAATTACAGGTAAAGAATATGTGGTTGGAACTTCCACATCACTTCGACATATCCATGGTATTCAAGATATTGGAGTTTAATATATACTAAGGTTCAACTGTACTTTCATACTATCTGATATTTTATAATAATGATTGAAAAGTAAACATATTTATTATTCTTTTAAAAGTTTCTCAAATAAAAGCTTACAAAAATTCATTTGATTGTAACCTAGTTTTCCTGAACTAAGTTTATTTTCATTGGTAGTAAACATAAAAACAACAAAATAGTAAACTTGACAATAAATACTCCTTTGATAAGATTTTCTTATCTTTGTACAAGAAAAAAATAGAAGAAAGATAGGAATGAATGCATTGAGGTACATGGTCCAGGTTACGAGTTCGTAATCATCGTTTATAATCTTCCTCGGGATCATTAAGACTGTGTTGTATGTCATTTATTTAAAATTTATCTGTGCGTCCCTATCTTGTTTCTACCAATGGTACACCTGTTTCCTCAATGATTTCAAACAACTGTTTATGCAAAAAAGAAGTAACTTAATGAAAGATGGCTTGGTTTTTTTTCTATTTTCCTATGGTCAAAAAAACTTTTATCTCCTGATTACTGTAAACATATTACATTTGGCTGTGTATTCTTTTTAGCAACTTTGGCTGAAAGCAATGTCCACTAATTCAAGTACAACACTAAATGTCTGGTACATATACTTATAAAGAAGAACATTTATTTAAGATATGCGCGCTAAATCAAATTCACGCTAACTTGTTAAAAATCCAATTTCCGCCAAATATCGTACACGCTAAATATAATACATTTACAGTATACCATATGGAAACATATTAATTTGTGTGGGGTCAATTGTCTTGGGCAGTCTAACTATTATTAGATTGTGGGATACAATTTTGTGGGGAAATTTGCGTATACATATACAAAATGAGCAGATACATTGAGAAAACTTAACTTTTATTCCTCAGGAACAAAGATGGTTCTACAGGTTCATTACTGTATCAAGGCAGGTTAAGAGTATGCGAGGAAGATACAGCCAAAGGCATCTAATTGTGCTTGTCTATATCTGCCTAGACATTTTTTTTCTTTTCTAAAACCAGATCTTGTATTTTCGAAAAATTCTGAGCTTTTTCTTTGAAATGACCTGCCTTACCTCTGACTAATTTAATGGCTACTCTTTGGTTCTCATAGTAACCAGTTACCACTTTCCCAAATGCCCCCTGACCAATGGGGCTGCTGAATTTGAGTAGACGGGGATCCAACTCCCACTCATCACTGATCACCAGTAACTGATTGGAGTAGTCTACCTTACCTGTAAAATAAAGAAAAAATATAGGAAAAACAGCACCTTCTGTATTTCATATCAAGTAGATGTTAACTTTTATATTCTAAGAGTTTGCTTTTGATCAAGCATTAGGCTACTTAGTACACTTCATTATCTATCCAGGTATTTGATAGGTTGCAAGAGTTGTTGTTAGGATGGATTTCCATGGAAATATTAACAGGAAAAAAATCAACATATTTTCTTTGCACTAGCTGTTTTAAACTTGGACAATAAAATTTTATATCTGAATTTGATCATGGTAGTAACTAGTTCCTATACAACAAATCATCAGAAATTTAGTGTATAAGTTTGTTATACAATTTACTTATTGAAAGCTATTTAACTCACTAATGAAAATTGGTAATGGAATCGAATCTTTCAAGCTTTTCTCAACTAACCCCAATGATGACCGTGTATTTTTCTTTACGTCATTAATGTGGGATTTACTTAAATTTTGCTGCTGACTCTTTTCTTTCATATACTCAATTAAGATCTGAAAACTTGTGTTTTTCAACGTTGTAGCAGCAGACTTGCGTAAATGAAAACCCTCATTCCTGCTTCTCCAATAATCATTTGTGGGTATTTAGTGATTAGGAAAGAAAGTGAAGAAACTAATGAGAAGGTGCCAGGCTTACTCCAATTTTTTCCCCCATGTTTTCAAACAAACAAATTGTGAGACAGACGTAATAATTTGTAATGCTCAGTTTCTAATATGATTCTAACAAGCAAAAATAACTACCCATGGATTTTCATGATTATAATTGCTCAAAAAGCAAGATTTTGAAGAATTTTTTTTTAAAACACCCTGTTATTTTTTATTGCTTAGATATTTTCAGTATCTTTTTTTAAATTAAAAGAAATGTAAAAAGTTGAAAAAAAGAAGAAACAAAAAAAAACAACAAAGTTTTGAGCAGATTCTGTTTCAATTATCACATAATAAATGAACGTTTTATTTTCAGTAGAATATACACTAAAATCAACATGTTTCTAGGTGACTTAGGTCACCTTAAGAGGACTCTGCCAAAATCAAAGGGAGAAAACTGAAGCGAGAACTTCCTTTGCTCTCCAGGATCCCACAAAATCAAGACAATTAAACTGGCGTAAAATTACAGAGAGGAAAAAGAAAGCTGGAGAGCCAAAGCACCTGAATTTTGTTAATAAGGCCCTGTGCCAAAAACCATTTTGTTGGATGACAAACATGATTTGTATCCTCTTTATGAAGGCACAAGATTAATTTCTATGATACTTTCTTGCTGAAATCTACACTTTGATCTTGTTAGGTTGTGAGACATGAAATTTTCCAACTCCTATCCACCAAGAAAATGTCAGATTAGAATATATCCCTGAAATTTTTAATCTTAGAATTATTACTTTTCAAGACAGAAGTAAGGTAAATTTATATCAATTCATATCCAAAAAAAAATCACAGATATGATCATATACCAACATAACCTAATTCTTGAGCATAATGCAATGGCCCACCACCATACAGTGCAAGCCAAAATTTAAAATTGTACATGAGCTTACCCCCTGGTAATAAAACAATGAAAAAAAAATGATTAAATACTCTTTTAATGAGGTGTATGTCTAATAGTTTGGATTTAATACATATATATACTTTTGAAGAAAGCCAACTCTCTCATTAGAATATTCAAAAGACCACACCAAAAAAAAAAAAAATGAAAAATTTGGAAAAAAGGATGAAAAAGAAATAACACAGAGAACAAAACTTGTAAGACAATCTGTTGCCCCACACAAACAATGGATGTATGGGAAAAAAATGAAAATTCCTTCAACAGAACCTGAGCTCAAATTGCCACAATATATGATCTAACCAACAGGGCTTGGCTATGCTTAGATGCTTGAAGTGTTGCATCTTTTGTAACAGAATGATCACAATCCCAGAACGAGGGGACTTCAATTACAACAAAGGAATCTCGCATTTTTTTTCTCTCAATGAGAAAAATATTAACACGGGGCAACAGAGAAAGCACCTGAGACTTTGCTCCAGAAATAGAAATTTTATGTCTTTCTGACTGCAGTCTGTCACAGAAATAGAGAATCAGGTCTTTCGTCAACAACCAGAATTTAATCTGTAGACGCGTGATGATCGAAGTGTTGACTTTTGAAGGTTTTTTTAAAAAATCCTTCTATTTCCTTTGTTTTTTACTGTTACCTAGCATGATTCTATTATTTTTTCTGGCCTTTTTTTTTTATTTCAATTTTTCTTCCAAGAATGATATGCCTTGTCTGATATCATTTCAATGACATTTTCTGTAACCTTTGTCTTTTCATCAGATTTCATAATTTCTTCTCATTTGCAAAAAAAACTTGTTTGAATTGATGAAAACATTCCCCCAAAAAATCTCTTAAAACTAGGATGAAATATGAATTTCAAAATTAAAGTAGGGCACCTATATATCCATACAACTACTAGGATTGGCCATCAATATCCCTAATTAATAGCTCTTAAAAATTTAAAATCCATCATCTAATTTACATAGAAAGAAAATATCAAGGCTCAAAAGCAGACTCATCAATTGTAGATGATGGAAACCTAGTTCGTCTTCCATAGCATGTCTACAGTGTAAACATAAATAACCAGCCTCACATACACTGAATATTTCTGAGATACAGGAAAGCATGCCATGAAGTTTGATGCATTCTTCTTTAGAGGATTTGCCTTTATCTTGTTTACTTCTCAAAGTGTGAACTTTTAAGTCAGTTTAAGTAAATACGTGTCAGGACTCAGTAAATTCCACATTTGTTACAGTAAAAATCAATTTTTCATAGAAGTATTTCAGTAATTTTTAGGATGATGCATGTTCTAAGTGAATATGATTAAGTATACATGTATAATTATCTTGATCCAATTGTCATACATTTCATCAATTTCTGCTCTACCCTGAATGCTATATGGTACCGTTTGTCTCATCACACTCAAAACATTTGAAAGGAATATAGTGAGAGTCTAAAAAAATCTGCGTAATTTTCTACCCGCGGATTCAAGAGAAATCAAGATTCCACGGAATTATGACCCCGTGGAAAATAGTATATCTACAGGATGTCCTACTCATGCCAGTCTTTTCTTGGGGCACATACAGAATGTTTGATACATTCACAATGACTTAAAGTATCAAAACTATATAAGTGAGAAGAAGACCCTTACATCCCACATTGGACTTGTAGCTGTTGCTCTTGGCGACGGTTGACTTGGTGATAATGATGTCCTTGAAGCTGTGGCGTTTCTTGTACACAAAGAGCATGATGAGTCCGAGGAGGGTGATACTGGCAATCATCGCGATCCCGATTATCACCTTGTCCAGGACCCCCTGCATTCTGGACTGCTTCACTGTTGGTTGATCTGTAAAATACAGCGCGAAATTAATCCATTTTGAAGCAAAGAATGTGAAAAATGGTAATTAATGCAGAATATAATAATCAGATCAGCACTTATTTCAAATTTTGGATTCTTATTCTGTCATAAGATGGATGGCTTTGCCAACAAATTAAATGACATGCATTAGTGTGTTATGAAACTTTGTGTGCACCATGAGGATCTTCAAAAACTTAGGGGTATGAAAATTACTTCACTACGAGTGTACAGTAGATTTATTCTAAGCCTATTCCCTATAACTGTGTGTGACCGTACCTCTTCTCATGCCTGTTCTGGGTGTCGGAGGCATGGACTTGTACCATGTAGTGTTAAAGACCAACCGCTCACTCTCCTGGTTGTTTCCTATGAAGGAGCCCTCATTGTTATCCTTGAAAACAGGTACCACCTAGAAATAAAATATATATAAATCAAAGTCATAACAAAGATCTCTTAAATATTTATGTAGTCTTCATTTCATTTTTCACAAAAAACCCTAAAAGTTCTATGAATAAACTCACAAAAAGGTAAAAAAAAAAAAAAAGAAAAACCCTTCTCCCTTCCATTTACAAAATATGGACAAGTTAGAATCAAAAAAATTGTTCTGCAGGCAATTTGACCTTGACATAATGATCTAAATTCAGTCATGACACATCTTTAGGTCATAAGCCATTTTTTCTCACTCTTGGCTTCCAATGTTTTGACCTTTACAAAACAACTGAAATGGAGGAAAAATAAGTAAAAACATACATACCTGAACTTCATACTCCTTATTGGGGTCTAAGGACATGACATAGAAACTGTGGTTGGTGACTGTGTGCTTGTAGCTAGAGTCCAGCTTGTAGGAGTCAGTGTCTACGAGTTTCCAGGCGACGGAGTAGCCGCGGATGTATGACGTATTATATGGCACCATCCAGGAGACGTTTGCCGTGACGCGATCTGTATCTATGTCATACGTCATGGATACAATGTTTAGGTACCAAACCAAAGGGTCTGAAAAAGCCAAAAATTATATTCATAAATTCCTCTATTCTAATTATCTACATAATTATGTAAACAGGTTTCAATAAAATGTGTTCAAGAAAATTTGATTACAGTAACGGATCAGAGCTATCGGTAGGATCTTTTTGATGAGAAAAAGAAGAAGAGATGTTATTGCAAATTGTAGTAGGATAATTTGCAGTTGACGATTTTACCCTAAATTGCTGTGGCATATACTGCATGAATAAACGACTTTGGATATAAAAAAAAATTGGGCAGGACCAGAAAAGGCAATTTTAAATCAATACCACTTATATAAATTCTGATTTTCAATTAATATAACTGATTTAAAACTTATAATCTTCACTTTTGCACCAACTTTTTCATTATATATAGGTATCACCATTAAAGAAATTCCAGTAGAGATCTTCTATTGAACAATATCAGGGGTTTGGTCATGTACATATTGTACTTTAAAGCAGAAAACCCTCCCTTTCTAAGTGAGAATCTAACTCATGATCATGCTTAAAGAGCAATATCAGATAAAACAATGGGGGGAGGAAGTGCAATATAAGTATACAGGAAGTCTATGTGAGTAGATTTCATGATGGCTTCTACGTCATTTGAGTTCACTGGAATTGAGGTCTAAAGATGGAGAACGATCTTTTTAAGGAGGCAACAGATAAATACACTTATCATATCAAGACAGGATGCAACCGAGGGCCACTAGGTTTAAAAATCTTTAAGTTTTCTAATCCTTAATCCCATGCATTTATTTTGCTAATCCAAACATGCAAGATTGTCATAAACCAAAACAGATGACTTGCAATAAAATAAGCTGTCATGGAATTGTGGGACTCATTTTCACTGAATTCAAGGAGATAAAATAATTAATAATAGATGACAAAGTCCGATAAGGCATCTACAGGGGGGAGCTAAACTATATAGGTCTGATTGTGTGTATTTACATTTCTGATATTAGCAATGCCTTGAGATTCACAAAAGTTACAGTCTTTATGCAGAATTATTGTTTAGCATGCAATCAAGTGATTTTGATGCCCTAAATGCCGTCTGAATCTTGCTACGTCATTAAAATGTATTCTGTTGATTCTTTTCCTTGAAGAAGAAAATTCCTTGGTATCAGATAAGAGAAATGAATTCCCTTTCAACTGCTTAGACAGGGTTTTAGTTATTTATGAACATACATTCTTATTCTCCCCTTTACCTAAGCTTCAACCATGTTCCGTTATTATCTTCAAAACAGAAGCCCCGCTTTACGATATTAAAAATAATGGAAAGAAAAAAAGATTTTTGCAGACGACGTTAATCTGCAGGGAAGGGGTACATCATTATAAAAACAATATACAGTACCACTGACGTAATGCTATTTTAGAAGGTGCCAAAAATTGATGGTGATCTCAATATTATTTTCTTTCCTCAGTGGGTGTTAGATTTTTATATCACATATTCTTTACGCATGAGATTGTTTAGCGGCAAACATCAGAGGTACCATCAACGATTCTTATAAGAAGGGTTGAAAAAGGTGGCATTACTGAAATCATAGCAATACCCTTTAGATGAAGCATCGTTTCTCGTCTTACAATAACGTATACAAAATCCTCCTCATTTGCCGATCGAGTGATTGATGCAGGGAGAAAACTTAACCGAGTTTTTTAATTATTAATGTTGATTTTTCTTGCTGTGCTTTATTTGTTTTTTATCGCCTCTGTACGTAATATACGTAATACAGTAATACTGACAATGTGTATACATCATTTCTAATAGTGTACTTGAATAACTTTCACATACCGCTTACTTCCTCCCTCAAGACTTGTCTTGTATATGAGATATTTTGACTGATTTATTGACTTTATGAGAGATCAATATACCGCCTTCAATGCATGTGTATTTTTTTTGTCCTTTCTTTGAAAAGAACATTTATACATGAGGACGAAACGAAATTGATTGTCTCCCTTGAAAAAAAAAAAAAAGGCATTGTCCAGTTCTCAACTTGGTTTGATATTTTTGGCACACTCAAATAGTGCAAAGTGATATTGTTTTTGAAAAAAAAAATCTTTTCATGGTTATTTCTATAACAATATACAATATCTTTAAAAGAACTTATGATAACTTAAAATCTTTAAAATAATTAACCTAAGTTGCAAAATCTTTTCTAAAATTTTGTACGTGAGTATGCAGATATATTTCCTAGAATGTGCAAAACAGCACTGATGCAAGAAACCTGCAGGAGATAGACAATTCATTAGATGCAGGTACATGTACTTCAGTTTTGATCTGATCTTTCTGAAGAAAAACCTTTCCCATCCATTACTCCCTTAACTTCTTCAGATTTGAATCAAACATGGAAAACATCTTTAAAGATCTCCAAGAAACAAAATTGTTTGTTTTGATTTAAAACGAAAAGCTGCATTAAGCAATTTATCCAAAGATCCCCAACCCCTCCCATGGAATTAGTGAAAATTAGGGATAAACGGGAAAATTTATCTGAATCTCTGTTGAAGGGGTACAAGAACAAGGTGCTAGATTTTGGCTGGGATTTCAGAGGTTAGCTACAGGGACTTTGTCTTATCTTCACAGGCGATGAAGCAAAGGGATTCAAAAAAAATATCCTGTATGAAATGCTCTGGGTAATTACTGTGTGGAGTGAGCTGTTCTACACTAGGGGCTTATCTGATGCCTTCGCTTCCTCTGTGGTGATAAGGCATGTAGTCTTATAGAAAATAATTAAACTTTTAACAGGTCAAACAAATTACCACCAGACTGCACTGTAGTGACTTATAGCTGACACCTATAATGGGAAATAGATTGAAGAGAGAGAGAGAGAGAGAGAGAGAGAGAGAGAGAGAGAGAGGGATATAACCATAATAAAATTCAAGCATTGGAAGAATACAAAAATTTGTGGTGTTTGCTAGATCTCAGCAGCATATTACATGAATATTCTGTAAAGAACTTTTGTTCTCTCCTTTGTGAACTACCAGGTATCTTCCATTGATTTTTTTTTACAATAAAAATTTTATATATTAACTAAAATTTTACCACAATTATTTAAATGGTCTCATATGCATGCAGCTACTGTAAATCACTTTTTATTCGCGAGAACTTTATTTTCGCGTAAGTGCTCGCGAAAATTTATTTCTCACGTATAATAGTATTCCTTATGATTGTATAGAACAATGACCACAATTCGTGAAAATTTTGTCTCGCTTATAAAGAACCAATGACTATCTCGCGAAAATAAGGTGTCGCGAAAATTAAGTGATCTACAGTATATAGTCAAACATAATTTTCTACAAATTGTCAGAAAATTGTTTTGACTTGTACAACTGTAAATTTGTGTGGTAATTCTTTCTTAGTAGTACATGGGAATCAAAGCAGACATGCACAGGGGATCACAAATTTTCTGAGTGTACCGTGTAAAATGACATGGAAAAACATTAAAATTGGAATGAAAATATAGGTTGGAATTCACAGGAAATCAGTTTACACAGGTGTTGGTTTAGGCAGGTTACACTATAATTACCTTCTTCATCATCCACTGTGTCTGCGCCGGTGGGCTTATTCGAGTCTGTGACAGCAGATCCATTGTTGACGACGTAGTTATGGTTACATTTCGTGTATGTCTTCGTGTCCACATCTTCACAGAGTTCCGTTTTAAATTCGACTTGTCCGTACCATTTTTTCTTCGTATTGCGACTGGCAAGGCTAAGGTCCACTCTCAGATTGTATAGTGAGTTGTACATCAGGGACTTGATCACATAAGAGGGCTGAAAAAAGTCAGAACAAATCTTAAAGTTTTAAAGACACATTAAAAACAATGTTAACGTTAAATGGCACTGTTTCAACACTGAAAAAAAAAAATCATTTGGAATTGTTGATTGAATTTGTCAGGATATAATTTCTTTTTAATATATTTGCTAGTACTGTTTTCTTCAAAAATACTTTTTAGTAAAAGTCCTGCATTCAGCTGTTTTGAATAAAATAATAAACAAAGTAGACCTTAAAAAAAATTGTTTTCATATCAGTAGATCAAATTTATCATAACTCTTTTGTGATTGTAGCTGTTTTATAGCTATACATGTTGTATATTACAATTTGCTGCTGTAACCATCATTTTAAACAAAAAAATTTTCATTCTTTCAACAACATATTTTGTGTTTGCCCCCTTTTAGGTACCTCTTTGTCCTTGGAATAAAACACAGTGTGTGAGTAATGGTCAGCCGGTTGATCACAAGGTGGGGAGTACTCCCAAATCTGACAGTTCTCCATAAACCAGGTCACCGTGTAGGCGTCCCCCTCCCCCAAAGGGAGGGGCGGGTTGGACCACTGGACGAGAGCGGAGAGGGTGGTATCTAGGGGGTCCTCAGTGATGGTGTAGTTAACCTGGAGGGGGGTGTTGACCGAGGATCCACGGTTTGTACTGGCAGTTAAGGAACCTGATGGAGGATACATCACCTCTATATAAAAAAAAGTATTCTTAATTAGCCTTCATTAGCTCATTATCAATTATGATCTTAAAATATTGAATTTATTTGCAATGAGTTAATTGGATTTACATTTCATATTAACTTCATGATTTAGGATTTAGCATCCCTTCATTAATACAAATCTATTCTTGTTGCTATTTCAAACTTTAATATAAGAAAACACCAAGCAATTTCAACTTCCACATGTCAACAAGTTATCTACTAGTATCTAGAAACATTGGTGATAAAACTTGACTACCCTATATGAAGGAGTTCATCAGAATATTTGTTAGAGATGTGTTTGACTGTACATGTATTTACAGTCAACCCTTGTTATCATGACCAAAAAAAACCTTGATATATCTGAGAGTTTAAGATATTAAACAGAAAAGCACTAAAAGAATAAGTGGTTGGAACTTCCAACTCACTTCAACGTATCCATGCAGGTACTCAGTATGTTGGCAATACCCATGTAACTTCAACCGTATATACGAATGATGATTTATGATTATAATGATAAATGATGGATAACAATGTCTTTGTTGACGAGAACCTGAGATAAGCTTGTCGTTCTCTTGGAAATGGACGTCAGTTGCGGTTCCGTTCTCTGTCACTGCGACCAGCCAGAACTCGGTACTGTGGAGAAGGATCTCTCTCTTCAGCACCACATTCCTAGAGGCTGTCTGAAAAGAAAAAATACCCAAACTGTAAAATAACGTTTTTTTGTGGGGTGAAATTTTCAAGGTTTGAGATAAATATATTGATTTTAGGCGTTTGATTTCATTTTGAAAATGTTTAGTAGTAGATATTGCATTTGAAAAATATCATTTCGTGGTGGTCATAAATTTGTGGGTGTCTCAATCCAAACCTTGAAAACAACAAAAATACCCCCCCAATCCCCCCAAAAAAAGATTTCACAGTATTACATTTAACACCAGCTGTCTGGAAAGACATAAAAAAATACACATTTCCACTAATTTGTCCAATTCTCCAACAGAGAGAACAATGAAAAATCTTCAAGTGCGTTTAGGTAATCTTTAAGTTTGTTCATATAGCAGTTTGGGTTGAGATGAAAAAAAAAAACCCACACATTTGGCTAACTTTCAAGTGGTATAATTTAAAGAGATAGCAATGAAAATCAAATCATTTATTTCCATAAAAACATCCAATCCCGGTTAAAGACAACAAATTTGATATAAATAATAAGGCTGATAGATTTAGTTTTTTCACCGGCACATCTTTGGATAAATCTTTTATGTCCTTTGCTTTGGAATGGAGCAAATCAACACAGAAATTTTAAAAGACCAGTGGATTACATAATCAGCGGAATATGCAGTATATATTAGATTTTTACCAAAGTGAACCCATCAAATTGTTATTGACCAAGCATTTGAAATAAAGAATGTTCAAAATATACTCTCTTTGTTTTATATTTATGACATAAAACTCTTTTGGCCTCCATCAGATATGCTTTGATAAGACTGGGCCTGATCAAATTACTCAAGAAATATATCCCATTATGACTAAATATGAATTATTTTGGCTCCAGCAATAAATTGACAGGAATCTCGGAGATTGTAAATGGTGTACTAGCTGGTAAACGGAGAACATTAAATAAGCAGAAAATGAAAGTTTATCAATAAAATTAAGAAAAAAGAATTCAAAATCAATATTAAAAAAATTGAATAAGAATAAAACAAAATTGCCACCAATCTATACATTAAGGCTGAACTTTGCACAATATAATCTACAGGGAATTTATATCTGCATCACATTCAGAAAAAAAGAGAAAAGAAATCCTGCAAAAAAGTTAATGAAAGCACTTGTTTCTAGATATTTTTAAGAAAAGAATATATGGATCTTGGAAGAATTTGAAGGCAGTTTTATCAATTACATTCTGCATATAAAAAAAAACAGCTACAGTGAGAAATTAACCAAGAGGGAATGAGCACCGATCCTATGACTGCTTTGCTTCTAAAGCTTCGGACCGCAAGGTGTCTGCACATCAAATGAAGCAGGTAATTTTTCAGAACAGAAAAAAGAAAAATCTTCGTCCATCAGCGGCCCGTAATGAGGTGTGATTCGGCACTCGTCTGTGACAAATCCTCTCTTTACACGTGTTTTACGTATCAACACGAGCCAATTCCCCCTATTCTAACCCTTGTTCTTCAGTTTAAGTCTCAATAAACTAACAATCCTTAAATCATAATGACTCCGCTTTTATTTTCTTTCATGTCGAGCTCCACAGATAGAACTTGGAACCAAAATATCGTATTATGACAGCGGCAATGGAAGAAACAACTGTTTCATGCAGCGTAGATTTGTACATGTAAACTTGTATCACTGAAGTCAGAAACGATCTGTGCCAAAATAACTTTACCAAATTCATTCAGTCATCAGGTTTACAAAAACAACATCATAAACATTCATTGTATAAGCACAAATCTATTTTCATCCCCAATGTCACTATCAATTCTGAATGTATACTGCTCTTCAAATCATATTTCATAAAAAGAACTAAGTGCAAATATAAGAGGTCAATTTTTTTTGTATTGTATAAAATTACAATATCGTAGTAAATGGTCCTTCATTTCAATTCTTTTTTATAGTTGTATCTATAAGCATTCAGATATAATTTTTCTCATCTTATACTTAAATCCAGATAATGTAAAAGTTACAAAGTATATAAATGGAGTACATGTTCAGAAGATAGAGTGAATAGAATATTTGGTTTATATGCACTGATCAATTGTATTCATAAGATATACATATATAAACCTTAAAATCATTCAAAAGATATATACATATACTTCAAATCTTCACTTTTTAAAACAACAAAAAGGACAGTTGCGTGATGGTCATAACCTGCAGTCCTGCATCTATTAGTAATTATTATAAAAACCAATATATACTAGTATATATATATATATATATAGTATGCAGGGGTTGAAACCAATATTAATCCCCTAAAATTACAATTTGTAGATAATTGCCAGTACCAAAGAAATGAACACACAATTTCAAAAGACAGCTTGCAACAAAAGCTTTTTTAAAAAAAAAACCCGCCATCAATCCATCTTTTAAAAAACTTTATAATTTTCTACCTGCATGATCATCGGACATGGCATATGCCTGTTCATTTAAAAATTGTACATATGCAGAATTAAACAGAAAGAAAGTGAAACAAATATTTTTTCCCAGGTAAAATTTAGGATGCATAAAATCAAAAAAATTACAAAATTTTGAACACGCAATTTAGATATTACAACTTGCATTTTGCGAGTTGTATATAGTGAATTTCGAACCCTGGTATGATCTTTTTTCCTTATCATTTTCAAGTTACAACTCTTAGACAGTAATGTTGTCAAACAATTAATAAACAGACACATAACCAGCAGAGCTCTCCATTAATAGGAACTGGGTCACATTTCTCAGGAAACATTATTACGATTGGTTAGCACTTTTCCCTCTTACAAAGTATTATTGGTAAGGATTCTTATTGTATAACATCTTCTCAGACAATTTATTTTGGGTAAAGGACTTAATGTTGTGTACAAATTGTTTTGTGCCCATGTAAACAATCTGCAAGGTGGGTTTCTTGCTAATGGGAACAAAGTTACGTAATGCAGTAGAACAAAATTTAATTTCATAGTCGATTGATAAATAAATGATAAAGATTTGTAAATTGATAATCACTTTTTAATTTTTTTTTTTTCGAAAATTGATGAGATCTGCATGGTATTTAATGTAAAATATTCAATTTTGAATACCATAGTATTTAAGCTAATTACATTACTGAATATAAAAATTGATTTTAAATACTCGGACTATATATCATCTGCAAATTTCGATAATATGATATTTTAATCCTTTTTGATATACTGGTAATTCATAAATTACCCGAAAGCTGAAAGAATTCAAGAAAATAAATACTCCTCATCCCTTACATACCATAAGACAATTTATGAACAATACATTTGGGGGAGATATGAAATAGAAGAAGGTCACATTATACTTACAAATTTTACAGTGTGAATTAAATGAATGATAGTATAACAAATTATACTGTTATGAATTATACTGCTACGAATTATAGCTGTTACGAATCATATTGTTACGGACTATATTGAAATACATGCGATCATCATGTCCATGGCTATTAAGGGTGTGCACCTTGGCAGAGAGTAAGTGTGATGTGGTTACATTGCTCTTGGAGTAATCTGTGCCAGACTTACTCTTATGTTAATTGCCGTATAGTATCTCCCAAATCAACAGAGAGATGGCACAACCAATTATACCAGTTACTACCATTATCACTGAAGTAGCTCTTTATGAGTACCGGGTAACAATGCGGTAGAATGGATTAATTCTCATACACACGTCCTCCAAATAGCAAAGATACAATTGGCAATCACTATAGGGTTCAGCAAAAAATGTTACAAGGTTGCACTAAATAATTAACCCCTTTGAATTTAAAATTTAATATTTGATTTATTGATTTGGGGTTTTGGTTTTTTTTTTTTTAACTTTAGAGCTTAGAGTAACTAAAACATCTCAAAAAATTGAGATCTTAGAATAAAATTATTGGAATACATGTAAATATTTCAATGATTTAACATTTATAGACAAATGTTATATTTCTAAAAAATACTCATTGGTTTTTCCCCCCATAAAAACATATAATACATGTATGGATTATGAATGGCAATTAAAGTAATTGTATTTTACAAAGCTTTTGTACACAAAAAACTTTGCTAGCTTAGTCAAAATTTATCTGTCAATTTATTAAATTTTTCTGATGTAATTTGATCTGAGCATTGGCATTATGTCTAGCTATTGCATAAATCACGTCAGTATAAACAGAATTGGAGGGAATTCAGTTCAATGGGAAATTCATTCCCCTATAAGAATCATCTGCACCCTTCCCCCCATTCAACTCCTCCGAGACAAATTATACGAGGATCAAAAATAATTTTTGAAGTACTTCTTTCTATTTCAAACAGATCATCCTCAGCGTATATTATGAAATATTGTATCTTTGTGCCATAAAATCTATATTAAATAAAAATTGCTTAAATGTCAAAGCTTCACCAAATATTCAATTTGGCCTTGAAGTTTTGATTAAGTTTTGAAAAAAAAAAGACTTCTAGGAAATAAAATCTCAGTCGAATCCATCACTGCTGGTGGTATCTCTACAAAAGTCCGATTTTTATTATGATTACAACATCAAGTACCGTGAAGAAGTTTGATGTTCGCTGAACTTCAAGTGCCGGCTTCATTAATGAGATATATTAATAATGGAGAGAAACTATAGAGGATTACCGGAACTTGTATTAGAGATAGGGACCCAGAGTTAGGAGAGGTTTCTTATGTCCAAGGAGTTATTTTTTGTCCCAGCTCCTTCCCTTTTATCTGTATGTATCTACTCTGATATGAAGAATCTGCGAAGAAGCAACAGACAGTTATAAAAACAGCCTGATATTCCGTTGATCTCGCTGTATCGAAACATTAGAGAGGTATGTTTTCTAAATATTTCGAGTGCTGTTCTTAGCATCTGGGAAGGCAGCAAGCCCGAAAACTCGCAAGAACAGGTGGGAGACTCAGGCATTTTTCATCACCTATTTCTACTAATTTACCGAAAGGTAACACTGTAGATATAAGCATATACCCTGAGCCATGTGAGAGATATTTTCCCCGAGAGCACTCGTCTGACCCAAGTTTGACTGGTTTCAATAAAGCAAGCCCGAATGAATTTTATGTACATGATTTTATTCATGTGATTACTTAGAGTTTACATGCTGCTTCAAAGCTCGGCCACACAAACTCACTGCCTTCGCACTGTCAGATTCAATATGGGATGAAGTCTCGCTCATATACATTTTTTTTTTGCCTAGCCGAGATTAAGTTTAGAAACAAGATGAGCCTATTTTAATCGTTAGCTGGCAGATAAAATTAGGTGACACATTACGGGGAATGTGAACAAATTATGATCTGCCTTCACAATATTAACTCTGCACGGCATAGCAATAAAAAAATTTGATTTATGGATTAAAAATCTTTCATAATATGCCTGATAAAAATAGATCCAGAAATATTGATACAGGTCTAAGGATGGGTGCACTGAGAGCCTGAATTTTATGTACAAATCTGATAAATAGATATAAAGAAAGTGATAGATGTCGTGTCAATTTCTCATTAATTTGATTTAGCTATATTGATAACAATTATATAACTTAGAAGACAAGATTTTTTCCCCATATGCAAGCTACATAGACAGTTTTATGTCTAAATTAAAGTTTTGTTTGATCTAGCTATTTCAAATTTGCAAAAAAGGCAGAATGTTTCAGGTTCTTGTTCATATGCACTACAGGTCTAACACAATGCTAAATGAATGGCTGAAAGTGAAAAAAAGTTAAGATATTCTATATTTCAGAATAAATACTCATAGTTATTTCCGCTCGTCTTTTTAAAGGGTATTACATTATGATTTTACACCTTTGCTTCAAATAAATCTAATCAGTTAAAATATGTCTAAATAATCAAATTTAAGTTTTCTGCAAATTATAAAAGGTTATTAATTAACATACACTCTTATGAAAAACTTTTTTTCAAACTTATACATCTATCAATTTAGGCTAAAGTTAGTCAGAATATATACACTGAACCTGAAATGTGCTAAGATTTAAAAGAAGCGAAATATTAGCTATTACCCAAAGAAAGCCTTTAAATCATATTTCATCATTATCAAGACCCCAGAGCTGGGTAAACAAAGCCTTTAGCAGGTGATAAGTTGAGTCTAAGATCTTACTGACATCAATACCACTTTGATGAAGTTAATTTTGATAGTACTAATCCAAAACTGAGAGAGAATCAGCCCCGTAAAAGACCAAGACATGAAAAGCTTTCACTAAACCACAAAAATTTCAGACCGTCATAATTAACATACTTCTGAGCACTTTTCCTTCAGTGCACTTTAAAATCAACAAATCAGCACTAAGCTAAGAGCAACAATGATGACATCTTTTTTAGGTACCGTATATACTCGCCTATAAGTCGGTCCACCTATAAGTCGGTTGTGTTTTTTGAGGTTATTTGGAAGGGATTTGCCATTGATCCGCTTATAAGTCGGTACAACTTTTTGCTAGAATCAAATGCTTATTTTTTGTTTTACCCTGATTTCAATTATTTTTTTTAGAAATGAAGTCGATGTCTAACTTTAAATCATAAAAAAATAAATAATGCCCTCTTATGATTAAGAAAAAAAAATAGAATTATTAAATACATGTATATAAAATACATGTAATTTATGTATAACTTATTATACATAAATGATAATAATAAATCCAGACTTTATTATAGCTGTTGAAAATGTTTATGAAATACTACGATTTGCAATCCAGATGAATACCAATCTTTTTATGACTCGCCTATAAGTCGGACATATAGACTTTTGCATCAAAATCTAACTCTCAAAATACCGACTTATAGGCGAGTATATACGGTACATGCAAGTAAATGTACTTCTTAATACCAGGTATATGATAACTGATGGTAACTTTCATAATTTTCTTTATTAAATTTTGTTTAAATTGCCTTTTTAACAAATGTGGCAGTCAGCCAGGATCGATTGCCAGTGGCCGGATAGCTCGTCAGTAGAGCACCTGACTGGAGATTCAGGGGGTCTGGGTTCGAATCCTGGGCCAGTCTGCTGCATTTCTCTCCTCTCCCATTACACAAGTAACAAACTGGCCTTTTTCTATTGGCCATTTAAACCTTTAACCTAACACTGTTTCCACATGCTTAATTAAATCTCATCCCTTTCTCCCTATTTTTTACCTGTATGACTTCTGTCCAGGCCCTGGTTTGTGGTGTCCCCACCGGTTCCTTGGCCATAAGGACGTAAACAAAGGCCTGTCTATTCCCTGACACCTGTTCTGAGGTGGGGGTGTCCCACGCTATTTCTATTTTCTGTGTCCTTTTGAATGGTATCACCACTGGTTCAATGCTGAACATCCATTGACCAGTATTAGGAGATGCTGCAATGATTCAGATAAATGCAATCATTAATTAAAATGAGGTGTAATTAATATGTGTAATAATCTATTCGTTAAGTGTGAACAAAAATTTAAGATGGACCAATGAATGTGAAGGGGAGGGGGGGGGGGAGAGTACTTTGGGGGGGGGGAGGGGGAAACCTTTCCTGAATGTTCCTATAAGCAAACTGTTTATTTTCTTTTTGAAAAAAGTCAATGAATCTATAAATTGGCATAACCTGTGATAAGGTGTATGCTAATAAATCAATCTATCTAAAGAAAAATATTAAGTATTGGATGGCCTTGATATCCCTACAAATGTTGGGATATAAATACATGATATGCATGTTGTCCGTGTGTTATTAATAATAACTAGCTGGTAGACCCTGGTCAGTCAACTCTGCAGCCCGTCCCTGGTAACAGGTTCTGATGTTTTAATTTCCCTGTTTATCTTATCAGAGACTATCTCTAGTAGCAGTCAAAAACTGCCCAAAATCTAGGAGTTGCCAACACGTGGAGGGGGGAAATCAAAACTAATTACAGTGTATAGCCAAGTCATAATCAGAGAGTGTGTACCGGTACAAGAATATACTCCAAGGAAAAATAGCAAAGGTCAGTTTTTCAAGACTTTGGCTCCTCTGGATGTGCATCAAAACACACAATGGTTAACTGACATAAAATCCACAAAGATTATCTCTTCCTGAAATAATTACTTGTTGCCTCTAATTCTCTTTAGATTTCCACATAAAGAGTCTAGCCAATTAGGCAAGTCTAAACCAGAAGCAAATAATGAGGCCAGGGCAACTTTAACGAGACTAGGTATTCTTTTTTATTTTCCGAGGGGGACCAGTTTTATTGCATTTTGACTGTTGCTGATCATTCTAACAGAATCCTTAGAAATAGTCTGTCTGATGATACACAGCCATGTAAAAGAGAAATAAAAACTTTTTTTTGGTCTTGAAATGGGGTAATAAATAATAATAATATACATGTATACTCTTATACTAAAAACTATAAAGAAATTGCATAAAACTTGCTTAAAAATGTATATTTCTTTAGAAATGTATATATTTCTGTTAAAAAATAAAATAGTGATAAAACATGTGGCTTAAAAAACACTCATATTTTTATTTATCATTAAATGAAGTCAACAAGTTCAAAATACTTGTTTGTTTATACTTAATCTAAGAATTCAAAGGCAAATCCTAATAAATTACCTGTGTTCAAAATGTTTGCCTTGAAATCACATGCTACTTTGCATCCTTTTTGCTGGAATAAAAAAGAGAGAGATAAATTTCATGGAAGACCTAGAAACTTGGAACTTATCAATTTAAGCCATTACTTAATTTTTTACAATTACCTTCATCTGTATTGAGCTGAGAATCTAAATATTAGAACATATTGCCTGCTATGTCATGATTCACAGAGTTCCACATTAACCCAGTCTGTTCATATGCTTTTAATTAATATAATTTCAATGTAAAGATGAATCAAACATTTACAAACAGGAAAAAAACCCCATCAGATTTGAGTTTTAGAAAATGGCTACTGTATACAGGGAAATTTTCGCCCCCATTTTATTTTCGCCCCTTTCGCCCTACCCTCATTTGGGCTAATTTAAAACAGGGCGAAATGAAATAATATGGTATAATTTCTTTAATAAAACTCTGATTGGGCGAATTTAAAACGGGGCAAAATTGTTTGCAAGTGTGAAAGGGCGAAAATTAAATGGGGCGAAAATAACCCTGTATACAGTATTCATATAAAAGCAGACAATAACCTAGTTTTTGGATAAAAGATATAGAACAAAGTAGTCTCCCCTGACAATAAAAATTTTGGAAATTTGAAAATTAAAAATTTTAAATTTAGAAATTAAAATGAAATGTTTCTTCTTACACATTTGTCTCCATTGTGACAAATTTCTGAGAATATTTCAGGCCTCAGAACGAGGGGTTCACACATCTTCCAGCACTGCAAAAAATAATAAACAAATAAATGAATCAAAATATGAATTTATAATGAATGTGAGAACTTTAATTTTGCTTAATTGTGTGAGTTGGTCAATGCTCAAGAAAATTTTATTCTTGAGAATATTATCCTCAGCATAAAGTTAACAGCAAAAACCAGGATTTATAAAATTTTTGTCTTACTATAATCATTACCAAGTATATAACTCTCCGAAAAATACGGTGTTGCCTATATAATATATGAATTCTTGGTTATCATATGTATGAAAACCAATGCCATTCAAAGAGTAAAAGACATGCAATCATAGTTTCATTGAAAATTCTGAGTTGCTATATTTTCCTTCCATTGATCAGTAAAATATAAGGATGCTAAAACTATACCCTACTCATCTTAATGAAATTAAACTTTGCCTGGTTTCACATTTTCTTAATGGATATTGAAGTGAAAAATAGTGGCTATAAATTCAACCCTGCATATAACCATGGTTAATGAATAACCTTGTGAACGGCCCATACTTTCATCATAATGCTGTTTTAGGCTCATAGCAAATGTTATAAAAAAAGAGTTCTTTATTATCATATTAAAAGGTTTGAGAGGCGATGACATGCATTAATATTATAGTGGAATTAAAAAAAAAATCTAAGGACAATGTGAGATAGCTATAGAGCTTTTAGATGGGTGATATTTTTCAGCCAAGGTTTTTTGTTAAATTAAACATGAACATACCACATCACAGCTCTTCCTCTTGAAACAGGAGTTATCATCATACGGAGCTCGCAATGTCTGTGAAGAAAGGAAAAATTTATTAAAAGTGATATTTCACTAATGCTTATCTGATAGTAAAAAAGAAAGTATTAAATAAAATAAACAAAAATAAAAGTTGGTGTTAGCTACTCATTTGAAAAATTTAAATGACATGGTCCAAAAAAAATGCAATTCAGATATCAATGCAAAATAAATGTTCAAAGATATATTCTATCTCAGCAGTTTCTGTGGAACTTTATTATATTTTCTTGGAAAAATTCCTTGTGGATTATTCACTTTTGAGATGTCTGCAATAGCTTATAAAAATACACCATGAAAATACTAACATAAATTTAATGAAGAGAAGCAATTGTATAATTTTTTGAAAAAAATTACCCAAAGTTCCAAATTTATCATTAATTTTTTATGCCTCAATCTTTTCATTAACTTTTGTGCATCACTTCAATTTTCATAAAAACAATCAACATACTTATGAAGGTTTTCATGCTCAAATGAAAAAAAAGACACCAAAACTGTTAATACATCTGTTTTTGCAATTTTTTTTTTGGAGTTGTGTAAGAATTTTATTTTGCAAAAGGCACCACTGAACTTTTTTTCCTTCAAAAGCTAATGCTTCCATTGAAATATTGTTTAAATGAAATTTTGAGATTTAATTAGTCTTTGGTCAAACATTTTTAGCCAGCTCATACTTATGGAAATACAGGACTTCTGAGCACATTTTTTTAGGTTTTTTTTTGTCCCATTAGCTTATCTCTGAAGATTTTAAATACAAAGTTTTACATCGCAATTTAGTTCCTCCTCTTTGCATGGGTGATAAATATCTTTTAATTTCTTAAAGATTTGTCTATAAAAGAAAAAGAATCAAGGGGGGCAAATAAGCATTTCGAAACATGCACCTGTGTTCTGCATGTTTAAATAAAACTGCCACCAAAGCAAATAAAATTTCAAACAAATTAATCAATTTGTCTCCAGGTTGGTTAACTTAATAATAACATGTTTCCACATAAATTCTTTTTTCTATGACAACATTGTTAAAGAAAAGTATTGAAAGTGAAAACATAAGGGGAATAACGAGAAGATTAATTAGTTCTTGAAGATTATCATGCACCTATACCCAGGAAAAAGGGGGGACATTTTGGCATCCCCAGATAAAGCACATGCTGAAATAAGTGAATGTATGTGTCGTTGCTTAAATCTCTTTCAATCATAAAATTAACTCTTTAATCCAACTTTTCATTCTTAATACTGCATTAGCTAGAGGTAACCTTAATATTTCTGCAATGTGCTTGCACAACTTTTTGCATGGAAGCAGCCTTTAATTCAGCAATGTCTTAAAGCAATATAATTATCTTGCACAACTTGGAACACAATTTTTAACCTGTTAATTTTGGACACCGAGGATTTGTCATGCCCAAAAGCACTTACAACACCCATAACCTTTCGTAAAAAAATGAACTAAAAGTCACTTCATCTAGGGCTAATTCGGTAATTGGAAATCACGATATGTATCGATTCAATTCCCAAAATATTCAAAATTTGATTTCTGCAGTCATTTTGTTGAAGTCGCACAAGTGACACTTGATATCTTGATAAAAGTGGACAGCCATACATGTATCCTGCGTACACTCCTACAGATGCAGCCTACATCTTTCCACTCTCAGGCCTTAGGTACCTGTAGCGCGCACCTGGACTCTTCCTCGTATCATCAAACAATGCCTTACTTAGTTTTCTCCTTTTCTATTTCTAAAAAAATTGTCGTCACCCCATTTTGTGCTTTGGTACTAACGTCTTTTACAGTTTTTTGTAACTTATTCCAAGCAAGTTTTCATTTTTGGTTGATCAAGATGATGGATGATGATGACCTCGAAGATTAACTAACGAAATGAAAACGGTCCAACTAATTTTTTTCCGGTTTGTCTTGAACATTCGAACACGCTTCCTTAGCATTATTCATATATTTAATATGTAATTTTCTATCTATAATTTAAACACATCACAATATTTTTTTTTTTGGTATTTAAAGTAGAAAATAAACTTTTGATATAAATCGCAAAATGAAGACATTTTGCCTTTGCGCAAAAGTCAATCCTTAAAATGATACAGCTTTTTTTTCTATTTCTTTTTCCCAAAATGTAATTATAAATTATAATAGATATTTGAAAGTCAATTAAAATACACATAAAATTAAATAATCATTACGATTTAATCAAAGAATAAGTTTGTTATTTTTAAATAAAAAGTCGTATATACCTCTTGCAGGCACCTTGCTCGACATCGGGCTTTAGCGATTGGTCCAACATCTATTGCGGAAGTCCATACGGAAATCGAAAGCACAAAAGTCACAATTGTCAACAAACTGTCCATTGTTTTAAAACAATAAAATATTAAATAAATCCAGATATTCCAAACAATGTCACGAAGCTACTGACCCATTACAAGCGGAGGTACTCAGGAAAGTTATTTCCGTAAATATTGAACCCAGCAAATACTTTGAGCCCGCGCACTCATAGCGTAACTACTTTAAGTGCCACTGGTTGTTGAGAAGGAATGTCGGAAACCTTATCTATATCAAATTTACATCGGAGATGAATTATTAAGAAAATCGGCGATAAAACACTCTCCTATTAATTACAAGAAAAACGTGTGTAGAAAAACAGTAAAGGTTGGGCCTCGATCTTCAAACGATAATCTTCGATCACATGGCCTCTCCTTGTTAATCCTTAATTAATTGTAATATTCACTAAGGCTGTTAATATCCACAGCTCCGAGACGCTTTACTTGCCAAAAGTCACTTTTCTTAACACCTTCAGGGGTAGTTTTTAACAGCTTTCACCATCTAACCCCAAGAATCTTTTAATATACGAACCCTAAATACATTAACTCCAACAGAAAAAAGAAAAACATGTAACGATGTTTTTGCTGATTCAAGTCCAAGTAAGAAGAATTAAACACAAAAACAAACAGGAGGCGGTCAGTTTGCTCCTTTTGCTCCGCGAGAGGAATTGAATGTTTCTTTTTCCTCCGTTGACTATACGTTGCAGTTTACTCGGAACAACTCAGACACTAAGCGAATCCCTATACTCTGTATCTTCTTCTTATCACTAGAACCCTACGTAGGCTTGCAAACAAATCACATCAGACATGCCATAGAATTCATCCACTCTACCGCTTCTAAAACCTACTGATATTCACTTTGATAAACTCCAGTTTGTGTTTTTTTTCTCCATTTTTATCAGAGACAATCTGGGTCAAATCGAGTTACTTCAATATATAAAAGGAACTCACATTTAATGCATCTTCTAATAAGCGGCAGAAAAAAGCCGGAATGGCGAGAAAACCCTTCTTCTGTTCTTTGAAATAAAACAGTATTGTTTCCAAAGTATTAGGAAATCTTAATTATATCACGAACAACAAATAAATAATCTTCATTAACTAAGTTATCAAAAGTTAAGGGTCAGGTTTCTTTAAATAAGACGATAGGACAGGATCTGAATAGCATTCATTTCAAAACCCCTTGACCCGGCCTGTTGTTCTTAGGTTAAAAACGCTTTGTTAATAAGCAGGGATAATTGGTAAATACTTTGGTTCATAATTCCACCAGAATTGTTTATATACAATTCGCACGATCTGCTCGTACCAATTAACCCCCTCATAGCGAAAGCATTCTTTTGCACAACATAAACATGTAAATAAGAAAAGTGCGCATGCAACAGACTATGCACCGTGGGCAATTTCCGGGTTCCTACCGCTTCTGGTTTTAATTTTTTTTAATGTCATATCACATTTAACCCTGTGTGACGTCAACGCTATTCTATTGAACTCTCTGCTGAGACGTTCGCTATGATTATTTTTGTCACTGGACAAGGATAACTGAGTCATAAAACGTCACTGATATTTTTCCTCTTAAATGTATTTGTCATTTTGTAAGTAAGACATATGTTTTTGTCTTGGTGGTCTGTCTCAGGATGCGAGGGATTGTTTTTGTAGTTTCAATTACGCCAACGATCAGCATTCTCTGCAATAATTTTTTTTTGTTATAAGCCTAGCTTGTCTAGTGTAGTGGGATTCAGTTTCTCTATACTCCTAAATGTCAATTAAACAATGCATACTTAATTAGAACCTTTTTTTTCAACCTCTTGAATTTCAAAGAGATTTCCATTTCCCCCTTCTATCTTTATATATATATTTTTCTTTGAGAAAATGATAAATCACAACAAAGAAATGTGGCAAAGCTGTACCATTTTCATCTAGCGATTCTGGCCACAATGATAAGCATAAGTAAAAGCTTTCTTTTCGTGAATTACATTTTTAACTTGAAATCATCTTGATGTCTTTGATGACCTTCCAGTTGTAACCAAATCTTTTTGATTTCAATATTCTTGACCTTGTTCAAATGACCATTGTTCACTGCTATGAAATTTTAAACATTTGGGTATTGTACGAAACCTATGTGTTTAGAGTGAACACCTTCCTTTTCCTCTTTTAAATATTGTAAATGCTAAAGATTTTTAAAAAAAACACAACTGGAACTACGATTTCAAAACATAAAACAAGATTACTTAAGGAATCACTGTCTAGTTAGTATAGTATGCCAGGGCATCAACAATAGTGGGAAACATGGGATAATTTGCATAACGGGCGAAGCCCGTTATGTATATATAAATTATCCCATGTTTCCCACTATTGTTGATGTCCCTGGCATACTATACTAACTAGACAGTGATTCCTTATATTTCCATTTCATTGTGAAATAAAATTGTAGATTTAGACTTTAAAAATGCAGACATAGATTAAAATTACACGAGGATTCGCATCCCAATTTCAATAGTCCTCGCCCACTGACGTCAAACACAACGGCAGCCGCACGAAATTTTCATGCATATTTGGCCTCCTTAGCGTCAGACTCAGAGACAGATGCGCACGAGATTTGCATGCGTATTAGGCCTCCTTAGCTCCTGACCTATTGATCTGCCTAATTTACATTCCGGTAAAATTATCAAGAAATTAACTCCGCTAACTTTCAAAGAGTTATCACAGAGAGAAAAATTAGAAATGGAAATATTTATGCATCAACACTTTCGTTTTCAGATATCTCAAGAAGCCGTTGGGCATTTGTTACAAAATTTTACACCACAGCTCTCTAGGGCCTATACAGAAACATGTCATGATTTTGATGTCAAAGATCAAGGTCAGAAATTCCCTGCATTGTAAATAACATTTTCCAAATGATGATATTATTTTTCATGACTTTTTTTCAGAACAATGTATCATCAAATCCTAGAAAAGCCCCCTATTGATTTTGAAGTGACGAGGTTGGAGGTCAAGATAAAAAATTCATAATTCTTTGTTTAACATTTTTGTATTTAGCTAAAAGCTTAAGAAGCCTTATTAAAGCAATTGAAATAGATTTTAAACCACAACTCCCTATGGTCTTAAAAAGTTCCCCACTGATTTCGAGGTCTACAGGTCAAAGGTAAGAAATTCTATGCATTGCAATTAACTATTTTAAATAATAATATCGGTTTTCTTGGAGCTTTCTTTAATGAAATTCATTTAAAACAATCCCCTATGCATTGCTAGAAAAGACCCCTATTGATTTTAAGGTCAAAAGTTCAAGAACATGAAACATACAATTCTGTTTGTGTAACACTTTTGTTTCAAGACTACATCTCAAAAAGATTTTAGCTTTTGCTTTAAAATTTATATTAAAACTCCCTTTGGCCTTCAAAAAGACCCATATTGATTTTGACGTTAAAGGGTCAAAGAAATATTTTTCAGACATAGTTTCAGATAATAGTTTAAGTTTTCTAGAGGGTTTTGCAACGAAACTCTGGGTCACCAAATTCCTATAAACTTAACAAACTCCTACATGTATATTGACTTTAAGACAAAAAGCTGAAAGGTCAAGAATGTCTGAATGACCTTTTTCCTTCTTCATCTTCAAAATTTCTTCCACCGCTTTATTTTTTCCTTAAGGGGGAGACACAAAGATTTGTTTTCTTTTAGAGACATATACCTGCTCCTATTTCTTTCATCATTTTTGTACACCTTTATTGATCTGCAAGTCGTGCATCAAAAATATTTTTTCTTAAATTCCATTAATTTGCATATTTTCAAAAGAAAACCTGCAAAAAGATAATCCAGAATATTATTTGTCTTTGCACGTTGGTCTTCTTTGGCTCTTGGAATTCGACATCATTTAAGTGAACATTCTCCTGTCTCCTGGTTTTCTATCGATTTCACATCTAAAAGGTGTTAAAATTAAGTGTGCAGATAATCATAGCAATTGATATCTAATTCTTCTGTGCTCCGCTTTGTCAGATTTGAATTGGGCTTGGGTTACGAAAATGTTTTAACGTTAAGAACCAAGGCTATCCGGCTTTATGTTGACCATTGTGATAATTTGAAATAAGTATTTTGCCATACATCGTTTATAATTTTTATACAGTGTATAATTTGCATGATGTAGACGTGGGATTTTAAATTTATTTTAATGTAATAAAAAATGCAACCCGAATTAAGAAAAATATGACTTTGACAAATTTTCAGTCTGAAAATGAAAGTTACAGTTAGAAACATCCACTGGGTTTTTATTTTAACTATTGATTACAAAATAACCAAAAAATAACTCTACAAAATAACCAAAATAACTCTACAAAAACCAAAATAACTCTAAGAGAAGGAACATTGACATAACAACGGAAACTACACAATCTCTTCAATACGTACATGTATACTTGTAAATTTTTTAGAATTAGTTGTAATCTTGGACTTGTCTACTTTTCGTTTAAATTGTTTTTTTTATATTTCATTTTCATTTTGAAAAGAATTTAAAAGAGAACTGAACAACGCCAAATATGTTACATGTTTGTTAAGAATTTCATACCATTTTGAGAAATGCTGACATATGCTTTGAGGTATCTTTAATAAGAAAAAATGTACAGTGTAAGATAACTATACACGCATGCAAAAATATAGTACTTAGAATAGTCCTAGAAAACGACCTAAAATTGGATAGAATAATCTCCATGGTACCTCAGGTATCAAACAATATCTTGAGATAATATTTTCCAACTGATCTAACGTAAAGAAAATCACGTAAAGAAATACAATACACAGACAATGGCGACTCGTGTTCGATGAGATTTTCTTTTACTGATAAGTTGTAGGTGTCGGGTAGTAAAAAAGCACGGCGGATTTGACCTATCACGATCCTATTAAATAATTCATTACTGCTAATGTGACAAATAAATCCACCTAATATTTACTATCCTTCATAGTAAAATGAAATAAATGAAAATCCTGCTGTGAGGCAGAAAGTCTGAAATCGGAGATGACAGACTCTGATGAATACTAAATGAAAACTAGATGTCATATAATCTTAACATATCATCTTCAAAATTTACAACGATGGGTATTGATAAGAAATTCATATGAAGTCCAGAACTATTATGAAAAACAAATTATGATTGATCTAAGTCCATACGTTTGATATGGCATTGCAAGAAAATAAATCAAAATAATGTACAATAAATTCTCTGGGAAAAAAGATTATCCAAACAATATACTGGGTCAAGAACATTTAAAAGGCCTTATGTCTGTCTGTTACAATCCACCTGGACAGAAGTTTCCATTTGGTACCACCAGAGTAGCCATTTAAACGATATTGTTGACACATTTATAGCGGTTATTAATGTCACGTGACGCGCGAGAATACAGCAGTTGAATTATGGGATACATCAGTGTGCAGTTTCTTGTGAGGAGGATGGTTTTCGTCTTTGGGGAAAGAAAATCAGAAAACTCGGAGTGAGATAACAGGGTCGTCAATTTTAGTCATGTTTATTTGGTTAAACTTCTAAATCAAAACTGATTTTAAAAGATTAGTGGCAATAATGCGTAAGCTTGCTCAGATTTCAGTTCCGATTAAAATAACAATTAACAAAAAAAAGAAATACATCAAACGTATTTCATTTCCTGTATTTTTTTTTATCTTGATGTTTACAAAGAAAGAACTTAAACTTCAATTACGACAAGATACAGTTGAGTGTTTTGTAAATTAGTAGACTAAAGAAGTGTTTAAAATATATATTTTATTGAGACTATAAAGTTTAGGGAATATTAAACTTCCTCTTTGTTCTTTCGATCTCGTCAAGTTTTTTTTTATTTTTTTTTACCACGCAAACTAGTCTAATTATTTTTAAGGACATTTATGTAAATCTATCTTATAGACAAAGTATACTCCTAAAATAATCGCTAAAAGACCTAGACAAAATTGCGTAAAATCTCTAGAGTTATAA